AATGTTAGCTACCTGGGAAGAAGGAAGGGGAACGTGAAATGGCGAAGGCATACTACATTACGAAAAAAAAAGACATAACGGTATCAGCACACTGTTGATTGACCTCGTGGACAAAAAACGAAAGAGTTTGCAAAGATGGCAAGAAAGATTATTGTGGCTTTACACCTAGTGAGGTATCAGGAGACAATGGTGCACCGCACATGCGTTTAAGGTTTCCTGGTTGAATATATCGTTTCAATAAAGGCACAGTTGTTAGTTCCAGCATTCTGTGCGTCTGTTTTCTTTCTCGTGTACCTTCACTTGCTGCTTTTTCTTCAAGTGACATAGACAAACAGGCCCACGTTTAAATTATTTTGTCTCATATAAAGAAAGACAAATAGCTCATTTATCATATATTTTTAATAATACAGGGAGCAAAAGGTGCGCTACATGAACTATTTCACTGTGGCTTTATTAGCACACTAAAAAAACGTGCGAACGTAGAACATTAAAGGGGCCGGGTCATGATCGGTGTCTTGTTGGTTAATCTTCGTGCGTTCACAAACAAGCTCGAAAAATCTCGGCGCATTTAGTCGTGCAGCTTGTTTATCACTGAACATCTTTTATAAGTATATCGTTAGAGCTGGGCAACATTGGCGCACTCTCGAGTCGAGAAGTAAGAAGCTGCTTGCTGGGCGAGCCTCTGCATACCGAAGATACGATTTTGTTCCGTGACCCAGCTGCACGAGTAGTTAATCTGTTCAAGATTTCTTCACCGTGACATTGAAAGAGAACTATTTTTAGCGTCTCAGTGCCTTAAGCTTTGTTAGAAGACGACTGCTCTGCAACATGCCACACGTGACGTCACACATGACGTCACACATGTCATGGCAAAACGGTGGTAGCCAAGGAGGTTAAAAAAAAATCCTGGAGTGGAAGTATCCGCAATGCTTTGCCTGCAGTAGTGAAGCCAGTTTTTGCCCTTTAAAGATCTAATACACATGCTATTTCCTGGTGGAGCCCACTTATACATCAAGTGGCTTTGATGCGTTAGTCTAAAGGCTACGTTAACTATAAGTTAAAGGATGGTTGTTATCGGCAGAGAGTAACATTGTTGGCAAAATCTGCAATGAAATTTGCCCTGTATATGAGGCTTACTAAAGAAAATATGTAACATAAAGCACTATCTGACCCGAAAAGGTGGCCACGTTAAACTCGTTGGGCGTGCGAGGAAAACGCTCCTTCTGAATCGACGAATGCCAACAGCTCGTCGTGCCCCTAGTAAGATGGCTGCCGCAGCCACCATCTTACGGTTGGCACGGCTTCATTCGTGGGCGAAAATTTCCACTTCAGCAATTTTCTTAAATCTCCTTGGTGGTCACCCGAAACGGCCACGGGCCTTCAGAAAGGCGAGCTCGCCATCCGTAGTCTGACCGCATGCCCGTTGCTGGCGAGCAAAACTTCGGCAAACTAGTTGCATCTTCGATTTTGCTCGAATATGAAAATATTGCTACCTTTGATCGAGCTCTTATCGACTTGGGTTAATTCTGTGACAAGCGTTGGTCAAGTATGCACCGCGTGTCTTAGAACTGCATGCCTTAAGACACGGGGTTTATGATTATTATTCGTAATGGTAAATGAAACTGCTAGTCGCTCCTAAATAAGTAATACAATGTACACACAGAAAAATAAAATTAAACAATGTATAAAAATGAGAAGTGCGACGCCGCTGCCTAAATACGATTAAAGAAATGGTATCCCTTGAATTTCACTGTAATATCTTAGGGAGTCGCCAGTCGGCGCTTCTGGGTGATTGCGTGTGTGCTTTATTCACCTGGTGTTTCGTGTCGTTTCGCCAAGATGTGTTGAAAGATCGACTTGTCGACAAGTTGACCTTTCAAGACTTCGTCGTAATAGTCTGGCTTATTTCGACGTCACTGGCTCGCGCGATGACATTCTTTTACGTCCAGGCCACCTGACCGCGAATCGCACGTCGTCACTTGGGCCGCTCAGTGTCGAAAACAACGAGGAGGTCGAGGAGGACAACGTGCTAGTGCGTCCTTTCACGTGCAGCATCGAGAAGACGCGACCTCCGCCGTCAACGGGAACCGTCTAGCGCTCGCCCCTGTCCTATACTTCAGCGGACGCGTAATTCTTATCGCTAGCGCGCGCAGCGCGAAGTGGTGCCGCGCCTACGTAACTTCACTTATTTTATTTCATAGTACGCGAACGTCGTCGATTGTTGACAGGTCAACTATGGGCCTGTAATATAATTTAGGATTGTAATGTGCGTCTTAAAAAAAAGCTTTTCTTGTTCGATGCTTGTAGCAATATATCGTATACTTTCGAAAGTGCAACACAGCATTTAAACTGTAACGAATTGCTAATTACCCGCGTAGTAACTGCTGTATACTCGCCCTGTTATTATACGTTAAAAAGGGCGTTTCGCTTGGTATATCGCAGTGTACTATTGCGTATCTTGAACATAATGAATTTTGAGAGCAAGCACGTGACATTCCCGCCTCTATTATAGAATGGTCAACAAGTACGTCGTAGTCAAAGACGATGAATCCTCTCCAAAAACAGTCTTAACAGCCCTGGTTACAATATTATTGTCTCTTTATTAACCAGTTCCCCGATTCACTTAGGTTTTTTCATCCTTCTTCGTAAGTGATTAGGAAAAAATGGCTTTAAGTAACTTCGAAATTAGAGCGCCTGAAATAAAAAAAAGTCTTATTCTCCACACAATACACGGGCTGTTGTGTTCGCTCATAAATTTTACTAGAGGGTACAAAAATATTATCTGTGCTAAAAATACTTCAAGGACCATGTATATAGCCTTATTAGGATTTCAATTATCAACTTCGTGAACGTTGTTCATACGGCAATGTTGTTGGACGTCACAAGTTGTGGTATGGCTATACTTCATGGGTATTAAACAAAAAAAACCCCAAAGAAAACATGTGGTATAAGGAATTCATAATAAATATTTAAGGCACCAACAAAGGTGACATCAAAATCGAGTGCACCGGGTTCGCAGACAAGTGTTCGCTCGTTTACGTCCTGCCGTAATTTCGAAGTCGCTTAACTTACATGAAAGCTCTTCGCAGCAGGGAAAATAGCAGGTTGTGAGAAATGCTTACATGTGTGAATTTTTTGGGGGAGGGGGGTGAGGGGGAGCTTATCTTTTTCTACCTTTAGGACCTGACCACAAGTACCCGTTGCAGCGCGTCCGCGCGTGCCTTTCTTGACGCGCCGCTGTGCCTCTCGCCAAGGAGAGAGTGTGTGCGGCTACGCAATGCGGCGCGCCTTTCTCTCTCTCTCGGTTGGCCAGCTCAAATGACTAAATATCTGATAAATTCATTTCACGAACAGAACCTGGTAAATCGTTCAGGTTTGAAGACGAGAAATATGATACGCTCGGGCATCAGTTGCTGTGCGCGAGATCTTCGTTCCTGTCGGACTGGTGTTATCCTGACTGCGAAGTCTTCAGTGCTACCCGAATTGATCGTCATACGATACAGTAAACAATTTTTTTTTGTGTACACCAGTCACGCACGTGACAGCACAACACATTATCACCTGTGCCATTCATCTGTCCGTACGTCCATCCGTGAATCCGTCCTTCATACTAGTCTGCGACTTCAGCGTGGACGTTATGGAATTTAGGTCGTAGCTCTTCGCCCACGTGTCATTATTCACTTCATAGAAATGCGTGATTTTGTGTGTGTTTGTGCACTTTGAAATAGGCGCCGTTGCCCTCATTATTCACTTCATGGAGATGCGTGAACTTTTTCTCTCTCTCTCTGTCTCTCTCTCTCTCTCTCTCTCTCTCTCTCTCTCTGTGTGTGTGTGTGTGTGTGTGTGTGTGTGTGTGTGTGTGTGTGTGTGTGTGTGTGTGTGTGTGTGTGTGTGTGTGTGTGTGTGTGTGTGTGTGTGTGTGTGTGTGTGTGTGTGTGTGTGTGTGTGTGTGTGTGTGTGTGTGTGTGTGTGTGTGTGTGTGTGTGTGTGTGTGTGTGTGTGTGTGTGTGCGTGTGTGTGTGTGTGTGTGTGTGTGTGTGTGTGTACTTTGAAATAGGTGCCGTAGCCCTCAAAATGCCCTAACAGCTAGCCTCTAACCGCCCTTTGCGGCCCTGATACAAGATATTTTGTAAAAGAGTAGCAGTGCCTCCTCTAGAGTAGGTACTCGTGGTACCAGCACCATTTTTCAGAGGTGTGTTTACACTTGCCATACTGATCTTTGGTATACAGAGGCGGCTCTGAGCAAGCGTGAGATTCAGCTAATGCCCGTAAGATGTTTTATTTTAATATTAAAATTGATTTTCCCGTGGCATACTTACCGGCATCGGTACTAGCTTGACGTCAGTGTATACAGTACAAATTCTGGTGACTTCACACACCAGTCTGTCTATATGTGAAGTCAGACACCAAAACTTTTCAGTGGCCGCTTGTGCGGCACCAACATGGTTCCATGTGGCCTTGGAAATGTGACGATGTCTTGCTTGAGCGCTTGATGAGAAGCTCAAACCGTGTTGTGACGTCAGCATAGACGCGCGCACGGAGAGGCAGGGTTGCCCTCCCTGGTCTCGTAAGAAGGGGGCGGGGCGCAAAGTAAGCGTGATACATAATACGCAATTGAAAAGGGATTGCTGCGACGAACCTTCGCCCCCCTCCCCTCCCCCCTGAAAGGGAACCCCTTGCACGCTGATGGATGGCACAATACTGTAGGAACCGAAACTAGCTTTTAGAAACACACTACGATTATTTTTTCACAGTGCACTGAACTAGGCTTCGAGGGGCTGCTTTTTCAATTGGCACAAGAATAATAATAAAAAAGCACCGCAAATTGCCTTGCCAGTGCCCCTTTAAGGCGCGTATGAATTACTTCAGTTGTATTCTCTGTTTCCGTAATAAAATGAACTGTTTCTCGGGCTTTTTAAATTAAAATGCCGATGATTTCAGTATGATTGCGGGCAATAACCCTGCCACGATTAAAGAGAAGGCGTAGCAGGGACGCTTTATTAAGTTTTGAATTGTGAATTTTCCCGACTGGGGTTCATGATCCGGCGCTTGTGGCTCTGCTGCTGCAAGCTTGTCTTGTGGTCATCGGCCCGCTGTAGAGCGGTCCACTCCGGCCAGTCGCTTGCGTGGACTTCCCTTTGTGATGGAAAGCGCCGCCTCTGTCGGCAGTGAGGTGACCAGAAGTAGTTCTTGTGCATGACAAACTCGGGAGTTAGTTCCGTTACGTCGGCACACCCTGCGCATGATGTGGTTGTTATGTGACATGCTCTGTTTTATACGCTTAGATCACTTGACTGTAATGCAAACATTTCACAGACGTCTGCCTGGTTGGGTAGGTAAACTGGCAAAACTATTTCATCTCCAGCCGAAGTGAAGTACGTCAAAGTAGGTAAGCACCCGACGTTTTGAAACCGACTTGGTTCCTTCCTCAGGGGAAACTGTGGTGACGTTGCAGCGGCGCCTTGAAGGCACTCGCAGGGAGGTGACCCGCCCCCCCCCCCCCCCCCCCCGTTTTGCCACGGAGGGCATAGTTCGTGCGCATATGCGTACGTACCGCTTAACTAGTTGCATGGTATCATGGCCCAAGTCTTAGCTGATTTACTTGAATGTAAACATTCGACAGATGTCTTTCTGGTTGGGTGGGTAAACTTCGAAAACCATTTTAGTTACAACCAATGCAAAATACGTGCAAATACTTTGGTTTGAGTTAAAATAGTTTTCCCAGTTAGATTTCTTGTATCGTTCTCACGCATATGACATTTGGAGAAGTTTTGGAGAACGTTTAGAACTGGAAAAGTTTGGAGAATAATTGGAGAAGTGGAGAAGTTTGGAGAATTCGGAGAATGTTTAAGGATACGTCTATAGAGGTAATTGTGATAGCAGTGATGTAGGGATTGCAGATACTGTAGAAGTGCCACCACGTCGTTGTACGGATCCTTGCATTTTTTTACCTTCAAACTTCACATTAAATCGTTTTCTGGATTATCTTTCTCATGAATTGACAATGCGTCTCTGAACGGTGGTTAACGAGAACCATTCCATATAATAAATAATTTAGTTTGTCGTTGAGGATGGCTCTCTATTGCTTAATAAGGAAAACCCCGATGTGATTTTAAACATCAAGATTAGATTATCCGGAAGATGAGTTTATTGCCAGGGAGATTCCGAAGAAGTCGCCCGCGGAAACGTTATTGACACTATTAGCGAAATAATATTTGGGTGCTGCTAAAGCTGGGATTAAGTTTGGGCTACGCATGAATCAGCCTTCTTGTCGAATAAAGTTATTGCCTCTGTTGAACGGCAATCATTAGTGCACGAATGGCGAAGCGTGAGCCTTGAAGGCTCAGGATCGACGTAGCTCAATTGCAAGATTTCGTGTGATATATGGTCATGTCACCGAGCGGCCTGGGCACGTTTGTTTTCGCAAGTTGTTTATGCTACTTCTGTGAACTTCCGGTCAAAAGAGGTCAAGATGCGTAATTGTCAATGGACGACTTGAAGCTTCTGCAAAGTCAGTGTGCTGCTTATAACCGTAGCGAATCGCTTTGATATGTGGGGTTTAACGTCCCAAAACCACCATCTGATTATTAGAGACGCCGTAGTGAAGGGCTCCGGAAATTTCGACCACCTGGGGTTCTTTAACGTGCACCCAAATCCGAGCAAATGGGCCTACAACATTTCCGCCTCCATCGGAAATGCAGCCGCCGCTGCCGGGATTTGAACCCGTGACCTGCGGGTCAGCAGCCGAGCACCTTAGCCCCGCGGCGGGGCTAGAGAATCACTTTGTTGAAGGCACTACGATATCTGGCGGTTCGTTTGACATGCTGCGTTCCAGAGCCAACGTCAAAATAAATACTTTTCTCTAAATGAATGTGACCAAAAACTGATTGCACACGCATTTTGAGCCTATGATTTCATTAGTTTTGTGTCAAAATGGAACGTGTAAGACTACAGAACAATGAAGTATTTAGGTGCTTGACAATTACGATTCATTGCTCAAACTCGCAGAAAACTACACATTACTTCATTTTATTTCTTGGAATGTAATACCGAGTGTCTTTGAAACATGGTATACGTTCATTTGACAAGTTCGTAAATGGTGCATCACAGCGAGCGACTGAAGGGGATAAATGGGGTTATGGTGTTGAAGATTACGCGGGTTGCTTTATCGTTCGATTTCGCTTGGTCGTCGTTAAATCGGATGTTGACGCGGATGAGTACTTCATCAAGGAAAATGCTCTACGTACCTGCCTCCCACGGATCTTCGCGGAAGTAATGAACTGTGGCCTCTATAGATAAAATTGATAAACACTCACCTAGTAGCCTGAGTGTCCGTTCGAGCTCCGATCGGTAGATGTCAAGAACAGTGCTCACCCCCTTCTTGCCCTGTGCAGGAAACGAGCGGCGAAGTTGTGCGATGATTATAGGACACTTTGAAACTCCCGATTGGCCCGTGTAAAGAAATACAAGAACAGTGGTTTCTGACTGTTGCAGTCACGGAAGAATTGAGTTGTTCGTCACCGCGCTGCATTTCCGACCAACCTATTAGGAAAAACACACTTGAATCGGCCCGCGTGGCTGAAAATTATGCAACACGTAATTGTACGCCGGCGTGTCATTCATTCTTCTGCCGATATATTCGTATTACTGCGTTTGATGGAAGAAAGAATAGGGATCTCGAAGGTTTATTCCGAGTGAGTAAGCATCTACGATCTTCATTCCGAGCAAATTCACAAACCTTGCGAGTTAGCTGAACACTGATCGACGCGAGCTTGAGCTTATTACTAAGTAAAGAAAAAATATGTGGATCGAGTACTAGATGATTGTGCAGGATGAAGTTGACACCACACGTGTAACAGCCGTGAATGACCCGCTCGTCTGGGAAAGCGTGTATTGCGAAGGCTCGTGTCAATACAGTGTGAGCCGTCGCGTCGAGATCAACAACGTCGCGTGCTTAGCTCTGGATTTCAGAAACCGTGGTTACATAGAGTGCGCTAAGTTCTGGTCGATCTTCCAGTGCTCCTTACCTAACGCAGCCTAAATGGCGTGCGCGGAAGGAAGCCGTTTCGCAACCGCAAGAAGCACCCCCCCCCCTTTCCCTTTAGTAAAAAATATCATGGTGCGATGTTTTTAAAGGCGACCTTTCTTGGGGACCTTCGACGCAAAAACTTTGGTCTGTCTGTCTGTCCGCCCGTCTGTCCGTCCGTCTGTCCGTCCGTCTGCCTGTCTGTCCGTCTGTCTGTCTGTACATTTGTCTATTTGTCCACCCTTAACGCGATCCAAGTGCTCTAAACAGCACCGGCCGATACTCCAAACGGTCGACCCCATTCGCAGCGCCCACCAATGTTGCTCAAGATTCAGTGTTCATACTTGTGTGACTGACAATTAAAAAAGCAATCATTGTGCATATATGAGGCACCATAACAACACGTATATATTCTGCATGTGCGTCTTTTACGAGAAAAGGCATACATAAGTAATTCTAAGGACCGTAGCGTTTATTTCTAACGATTTATAAGCAGCTAAATAGAATCTCTACTGCCACTGCAAGGCTTCCTGTTAGTTGGGCAGTGACTGTTCAGTTTTACGCCAAATTGTGCTTGCTTGAGCTCGTTGGCTGCACAAAGCGAGGAGGTTCCAGCCAACTACTTGGACAAGGGCAAAAAGACAGACGACATGCCAGAGGTTTCGTCCTTTCTGTCCTCGTCCAAGTAGTCGGCTGGAGCCCCTTCGCTAAGTTTTACATAGGTTTATCACGTCAATTTTTTTTAGTGAAGGTAGACTCAAGCTAACCCTTAAGCTATCGTGCTCTGGGCCACTTTTAGCAGGGCTATTCGGGAAAGTGTTCTCGAGTGCTGTGCCTGCTCGCGCTCGTTTTAATGCAATAGTGTTAGAGAGCTCGTGTCGCAGAGAACCCGCCGCCGGGTTGTGAGCGAAAAAACCGCCTGTGCGTCTGTGACCGAAAAATCAAGTTACCTAGATAGCCGCGGGAGGCCGCTACTTGTCCACGCGTGCGCGTGCGATCACATTGAAAAAGCCACGCGTTCGAAGAAAAAAAAAGGGGGGGGGGGGCTCAAGGTGACGAGGCGGTAGTTTCTTTTCCCTGCCACCCTTCACTGCTTAGCTTTCAGCGCTTTCGTCGGGACGATAAAAGAGATAATGCAATTGCAGCATGCGACAAACCTTTGTAACTCCACTCGCACTGGACGGATTCTTAAAATTTTTGCGGCGTTGAATTCGTGAGGCAATAAGCTCTTCCAGTGAATTCATTCCGTGGTTACTTGAAAAAGTGTTTCAGGGCCCCATTAACGCATTTCGTTCCACAGGTGTCACGACGAAAAGGAGCCCATTCGGCGATGACAGCGAGCGCTGGTCTGAGTGCGTGTTTGTGTGTGTGAGTGTGTATATAACAAAACATATGAATAAGTATGCACTTAGCGGTTGAAGGGTGCACTGGGGGCCGGATTTCGCTATCGCGTTCAACTCTAACCCCTGCATTTACAAACGCTCCTCGGCTTGACTTTCACCCTTCACCTGACAGAATTGCGCACTGCGCCGCTGCTCGGCTGAAAATGACGCTGCGCTACTCGAGAATAGCAGCAAATTACCACTGATATGCAGCGACTCTCCCTGCCTAGAGATGGCGCTTCCATAGGCTTTCTCAAGTGAAGGTGGAGGACGATAGTTATAGCGCGAGAACAAAACGACGACACGGAGACAAGAAGGACACGAAAGACGCGAGCGCTGTCCTTCTTGTCTCTGTGTCGTCGTTTTGTTCTCGCGCTATAACTATCGTCATGCCATACCAACTAGCCCAAGCTGCCACACTTCTAAATGAAGGTGGAGCGTTGAGTGAAGGGGCGTTCTAGAATACGGAGGTTAAAGGCGGAGCTCAAGGTTCCACCATTTTTTTTGTAACTTTCGTGAGCGTTCGCAGACTTACGTTGTAGGCGAGCCCCCACAGTACGGGTCTGCCGACGAAGGCTGCTCGAGCACCGAGAGCGAGAGCGCGGACCACGTCGGCTCCCGTGCGCACTCCGCTGTCCAGGTAGACCTCGAGGCGACCGCCCACGGCTTCCACGATCTCGGGCAGGACGTCGATCTACGTGGTACACGTAATGGCCGCTGCACTTGATGCGACGCTTGAGGACAGTCATCATGAGGTTCTGTTATAATGTACGTCACTGGAACCGCTTATGGCGCCTAAAGCGTTCCCTAGATGCGTATATGGTCATCGCAGCCACCTAGCTGCGTATCTTGTATGTGCTTCACATATGTTGTGCGTCACCGAGAACCGTAAAGCTCAGAACGTACCATGAAACAGCAGTTTCTTTTAGGTGCTCTTACTTGAGAAGTGACGCAACGTATAGCTCGTACTCTTAAGTACTCTAGGAAACAGCGTACCGTTGCCGGTGTTCCATCCAGCTGTCGTCCTCCGTGGTTGGACACGATGATGGCCGCAGCTCCGCTCTCGTAACTCTTCACGGCAGCTTCCGCTGCAATGGCACAGACCGGCAGATAACATGTGTACATACCAGCTTTTTTTAAATTCATGACTCTGTCACGTTCGTTATGGTGACACGTCACGACTATCAAGGTGCTCCGCATTGTCGTATACACTATTCCAGAAGAGTACAACGTTTTCAGAGTGACTTTGTGGCAGCAAGAGCACATGGTCGCAAGAGAGACGGCAATGATAAATATTATCTGCGGTTCTACGTCCTAAAAAAACGATATGCTTATGAGACGCCGTAGTCGAGGGCTCCGGGAATTTCGACAATGTGGTGTTCTTTAACGTGCGCTGACGTCACACAGTACGCCGGCATCTAACATTTCGCCTCCATCGAAAATCAACCGCCGCGGCCCCGGAATCGAACCCGCGACCTTCGGGTCAGCAGCGGAGTACCTTAACCAATGTTCCATTGCGGCGGACGAGGGACAAAAGTGATTGTATGTCCGTGTCGTCTCTCTTGTCGGTGTGTGTTCGCGCTGTTACTCCGCTGCTCCGAAAAGAACGAACTCGCCCCCAAAAGAAGTTTTTTGGTGGCACAGCTCTTGGCTATTTTGGCGCATATTAAAAGGTTGAAGTATAGCATGGTACATACGAGACAGATGCAGAAACGCAGGCAACACTTACGCTAACTCACAACTGGCGCATCAAAAAGAAAATGTCAAGCTACGTGAAATAACGTATCGGTCACAAAATTTTTCAAAGTGAGTGGTGACGTAACAGGTGCGCACCTTTGGACAAGTGACAACAAGTACACCTCGAGTTTGGGGCGAGGGTGCTCAAAAAATAGAATCGAGGGAAACGCATGTGCGAGGAACGACTCACGAGTGATGACGCCCTTCACGACGACCGGCAGCCCGGAGACCTCTCGCAGCCAGGCGACGTCCGACCAGGTCACACTGGGCGAAATGAGGTCGTCCACGAATTCGTCGAAGTCGGCGTGGCTTTCCGCGGTGGCCGAGGGGAGGGAGCGCTCCAACGTGCCAAACCTGAGCGATGCAGTCTGCGTTAGAACTGAGCTATTTGGGAAAAGGGGCTCGTCTTCCGATTGGAGGCAGGGTAGTTAGACAGGACACTGGCAAGCTTTCCCAGGAAACGAAGAACCTAATTAAGAAGCGTCAAACCATGAAAGTGTCAAGTACAACAGACGAAATAGAACTGGCAGAGCTTTCGAAGTTGATTAATAGACGTAAAGTATGCGATGTAAGAAGGTATAACATGGAGAGAATTGAACACGCTCTGAAAAACGGAGGAAGCTTCAAAGCAGTGAAGAGGAAACTTGGGATAGGCAAAAGTAGGATGTATGCACTAAGGGACAAAGAAGGCAAAATAACTACCAATATGGATAGGACAGTTAAAATAGTGGAGGAGTTTCACAGAGATCTGTGATGATGATGATGATGATGATGATGATGATGATGATGATGATGATGTCTTCCGATTGGTGCAGCACTCGTGAAGTCGAGTAGCAAAGATTTAAGAAATACGCAGGGCATCCAATCTACAACCAAACCTTTCGTCCAGACGTACGAGAACACCAGAGGCGTAGAGTCTTATAAGTGCACTAGAGGGACATCTAGCACTAGTGGCTATGATTACTGCAACGTGTCGCGCTTCAACCTGCCTGTGTTTAAAATAGAAAAAAAAAGTTCGACAATTCATACTACGACGTACTCGACTATGGGAGAGCATTAAGCTGCCCCGTTAAACACTCTACGCAAAAAAAAAAAAACATCATACTCTACGCATAGTATTTTGCGTAGTACACGGATTTTTCTTGGCTTCTTTCTTTCATCTCTGTTCTACTTCGTGTGACCTGTAGCCGCTTTGTCGCAGCACTAAGTTCAGGAAACTTTTCAGCTGTTCTACTTCACCAGCTTAACCTTTTATGCTCAGCAATCCGAATAGGCTCACGAAATTCTCAGTGATTTATTCTTTTATTCAAAAGAAACGCCAAAACACAACAATAAGCGGAGCCACAAGTGCGAACATCGAGCAATATTGTGAAACTCTAACATAAGAGCACCAGAGCATGCGCTTCCGCGAAAATTGCTGAATTCGGACCAGCTGCGCGGCTGTCGCTGTTATGAAATACCAACTAGTCTGTTCCGACACGTTGCTTAAATAACTTCGGGTTAATGCATGCCCTTGTTTGGGTAAGTTGCATTTCGTAAATTTGAATGAGTATTGAAGGCTGGCGTTGCGGCACGTAACACGGAGATCCCAGTAAAAAAAAAAAACGATAGAGACACATTGCTTATGATACTCAAGATGCCGAGGGAGCTTACGGGAGCCTATCCGAGAATGAGCTGACCTGAATTTACAAAGGGTTCAACTAGTAGGTATCAATTAGGGTGGCCAGTGGAGGTCTCCGGAGTGCTGTAATGGGGAAAGCGTGATATATTCCAGTGTGGATGTTGATTTAAACAGGTAGACGTTTGTACAACCATTTCCAAAACTGATTAGGGCACAAACACACGGTACATTCACACACAGCACACGTGTTGGGTGTCTGAGTGTCTTCTGGAAAGGCGAGGGTTTTTCCCCACCCCGAGAGCGTCTGCCACTTTCCTCAGAAGTAACATGGGAGACCTTATTTGGTACGGTACACCTATGAAGAGCTGCAAGAGGCCGTCACAGCATAAGCAGATGAGGTCGCCGCAGACAAGCGGCCAGCTCTAAACCCGTGATTTTTTATATGAGGAGCATGTTATATTAGGGCTAGTCATGCGCCGTCGCCGTCCGTAGCCTCCCCTCCTCCTCGGCCAGCCATCTGTGCATCCCTTCCTCCTCTCAACACAGCGCGCGCTGCGCTCGCTTCTCCCCTCCGCGCACCGCGCGACCTTTAGATGCACGGGCCGGGGCCGGCGCCCGCTATAAATAACCGAGTGTCGGGGTGACGTCATGACGATGTACTTCGCGCCCAACCCATCGCGTGCCGCCGTGGAGAAGTACGTCGACGAAGCCGTGGAATAATACCCGAAACAACGACCGCAACGACGACCCTTCGTGATAGTTGGCGATTTCAACGTCGACATCATCAAGGACGATTGGGTGGTCGACTACATGGAGTCGCGGCATTCGCTGAAACGAGCAACGCACGACGGCAGACATAATCCGACCACGGTTCGCGGGACGTGCATCGACCACGTCTTTCCAAATCTCGACTTTCGACCGCTGCAACAAGACCCGCTCACCCTTCACTTTACGGAACTTAAAGTCATCTAGCTCAAAATACCCAAAGCGTCTCATCAATAAACATCGTATTTCGCAGCATACGTGCGTGCGTGTTCACTCGTGTTCACTCATAACACACACGCATGTCGCAAATTACAAACCACATTTATCGCAGTGCAACATATATGCTCCGCATGCTAACCAGTGTTCCCACTCGGGAAACGGTGGTCATTTTTTTAAATAGCTTTGTATCCTCCTAAGTTTGTGGGTGTGTGATTGTGCCGTGTGTTTGGGCGTCAATTAGTCTTGGAGATGAATCATGATCTACCAACTAGCCAAGCAACAAGTTGCTTTAACCACCTACCCATCCATTCCGAACGATCATAGATGACAGCCATATGGGCACTCACTATAAAAAGCGTGAAAGAGAAGTGTCGCTGTATAGGTGGGCTGACCTCAAGTGCTTGGGCAGGTGGAATCGGTACTTGTTGGCCATGACCTTCTGGCCGAACACGGGCGAATCGGCTGTGAGCACAACGGCGGAGAAGCCAGCGGCTGCGGCCCTCTTCACCAGGGACTCGGTGAGGGCGCGGTCCTTGTAGACGTACACTTGAAGCCACAAGGTGCAGTTAGGGGCGCGGAGGCGAATGTCCTCCAGCGAAATGGTGCTCATCGAACTGAGGATCATCAATGTGCCGGCTGCCTCGGCGGCTGCGGAGAATGGCAGGGTTTGTAAGAAGTGTCGCCGACCGGCCGTACAGTATTGAACGCAGACATTGATCGCCGGAGTTGAACTGTTTGCGCAATATTTTGCTCGTGGGAGTGTGTAAGGTCGTCCATAAAAGAGGCAAAGTTTCTTCCTCACCTACGTTGGACGAGTCCTAATGGCAACATATGCTTCTGGACGAGTCCTAATGGCAACGTATGCTTCACATTGGATGAAAAAAAAATGAAAATGCGGCGATGACAAGCCTTGCACAACGCCCTGCCATTGGCCCCCTTTATGATCGTAAACCTGACGGGCCAGAACCCTACTCTTTAAACAATGTTGGGACAGATCCCACTGTGTAAGGGTGATTTTGCCTCTCCTCCTCCCCAAAGGTGATTAGGAGAAGAGGCACCACTCCCGCGCCCTCGTCCCTATACGCACACACCTATGTTCTTAAATAAGTAGCGATGACATTGGTGGAAAGAGGCTTACGAAACGAAGCGAGTGCTTTCGGTTCAGTGCCTGTAGGGTTGAAATCGGAGGAGGACCGCAGAATTTTGTTTTCAAGGAGAATCACCACAGGTTCGTACCGCGCTCGTTCGCGGTCAACAAAAAAGTATAATAGATAATATCAATCAAAGTCTTCATAGAGCAATCAAAAAAACCTATAAGCGCAGAGCCTTTATACTAGTCGACCACTTCAACGTAGATACGTACCTTAGGACATATGTATAGCTCCGCCCACTCGATCGTCATCAATCAATTCGTGGTCATTCGTGCATTTTTTTTTCTCGGAAGCCTGTAGGGGTATTATTTGTAGGTATTTGCTACAAACGCATGATTAACGTTTTTTCTTTGAACAAAGCTGCTGGGAGTCGAAACGTCGGTAGAGTTCGCGCTCGTACATTCTCGAAAGAGCGCGAGAAGTCGCGAGAAAGACGAGGCGCTGCACGACGTTCTTGCTTGTATCAAGTTCAGCCAGTACAGCATTTCGGCACGATGGCACCAGAAAGAAAGCGGGCAGCTGAGACGGACCTTGTGCGGCTCCGATTTCTCCGTCAGGGTGCGCTAGCTGCTGCATCGCCGAGGGTGAAAAGCCAAAGGGCATGGAAACGGGCTGACCCAGCAGTGTCGTCGCCGTGCTCACCCAAGACACGTCCACGAGCATGCGAGGCCTGAAGCGCAACCTGCGTATTTGAGAAGCTTCATGTAGTGAAAGCAAGTGAGTGAGGAATTGGAACGAATGATGCCATTTAAAGTACGCATATACGCGTAATCGAATACTAGCACAATGAATCTGCAATGCCACGCCTTGCAAATACTGCAGGCACGAATCAGATCGCGTGGACAACAAACGGCATAAAACGGTCATTGACATGTTACCATGCTTACAGTGAACATCGCTGAAAAGCTCTAGAGCTGTATCTAATATTCAAGAGTACAAAACTTGAAAATGTGCCAAAGGAAGCACACTCGAACCGTGTGCGACAGCAAAATGCTAACGAGTTGATCACTTCTGCCTTTTGAGCTGGAGGTATGTGGTACACTCCGTGGTATAAATTCCGTTTGTAAATGGAGATCAATAAATTAAAATGAAATTAAGGGTCAGTTGGGGATAGCGCGATTGTGGTAATCGACTGTTCTGGCATTCGTTTAATGAAGATGTACGGTTTATCTCGCTGTTCATAAGAAATACCACGAGGTTCCATCTTCTAGGGGGGCAATATTCACGCTGCTTTTTCAAGTTATGCTTCACTGGAGGGCATGTGCATGAGGTCCTTGACGTCGTCAGCTTGCTCACCTCCGAAACGCCTCCTTGTTTTCTTTAATGGTCTCCTCCTGGTCGGCACCGCCGTTGTAGTACCAGCCGACTCCCGGCTCAAGCTTGGTGCTGGCGATTCGCTCGATGTCCGCAATGGTCACCGCAGCCAAGTCTCTGCGCAGCATTTACGTTCGCTTGCTGCGATCAGAAACTCACCGATATACGGAGCACAGCACGCGCAGGAAGGGAAGCGCGTTAATTAAGCATCCGGTATGTCTCACGATGGTCAATATGGCAGCGCCCACATCACTTAATTTCCTGCTATCATCATCAGTACTAATACTGAATCATAGAGCACGACCTCTGAGCCACTGGAGTTTATGCGCTGGAATCCCGATTTGAAAGCTAAGGCTTCATCGCCCCCCCCCCCCCCCTTGCCCTCTCTTGTTGGTCGGATCCGAAGGACAACATTGTTCTAGTGCACGAAACAAAATGTCAATGAGACAATGGCAGACTTCTTACTATGACCTGGGTATTGTCCCCGGCATTCCTGAATTAAAGATGGGGAGCAAACCGTTCTTCGAATGCGACATCAGTACTTCTCAGCCGCCATTTTCAGCCATTAGTAGTAACGAGTAGTCGACCTTTTCCTAGAGCGTGCGCCTTACTTTTTCAATAAACAAAAAAATTAGCATTTCTTATCGGTCTGTTATTGGCATGTTCGTACTGTCTCCAACCATGTTTCATAGAAAAACTGTTTCTTTGGCACGACGGTGGCTGCTGTAAAGGCTTTTGTCGTAGCTAGTGTTACCGTTCTGCATATCTGGTGGTGTCGTTGGACCGAACGCCGTGACTGGAGGTAGCAGGTGTCGGCGAAGGCTCGCCTGCAACGAGGCAAACGTAACGTATTTCAGCTTAACCCTCCATGGGCTTCGCGAAACTTGTCTCTGTCTATGCACTCGTACATTGTCGGAAACATTTATTTACTTATTTATATGTTGTACCCTCGGCTGTCTACGTCTTACAAATGACAGTGTTTAGATAATAGTAAATAGATAATAGTAAATAGAGAATATAAACAAGATGAAACGTGCTCTTTTTTTATTATGTGCTAAGCTTTGGTGTTACGATGGAGTAAAGGACAGTGGCCTTGAAGAGAATTGTCTTGCTTTTCGCAAGGGCACAAAACCAACAAATAAGTGTCACAAAGAAAATCATCCCGATTTTTTTTTCTGGGCTCCCGTTTGAGATGTAGGAATAAGGTAAGACAAGAGAAAATGCACCAAGGGTGAACTCGAACGCAAAGCTTGCTATGATTGGTAACAATAAGGGAAATTTGGCAGGCTATAGGGCTATCGCGCTACTTATAAAATGCCATGAGGTAGGATTTTGATTTTAGTACAGGTATATTGGGGCCATACATGTGCGTAATTAGCGAAATGATTATAGAAAGGCTGTAGTGAAGTCACACGATAAGCCTAGCGTCGGTGCTAGAGAATGGATGCCGATTGGGCCTTGAATAAGTAAACCGATTAGAACATTGTGTCGCGTATGTATCTTTCATATGAAAGTTTTCACTACGCCAACAGCGGTTCAGTGCAGTTCAATAATTTACAGAAGACAAGCTGGATCTCTTCCACAGGTTTTCGATCAAACCTTGTGCGAGACCGAGATGATTGATATTTCATTAAAATAATTAGCAGACATTATACTAGCGTCCATCTTTTTTCCGCCATTTTGTCTATCTGCGTGCTATGCGTATCGTATCAATCAACACATACTAATCACCACCGTAACCACTGCAGGGCAAATCACCCGCCGATCAACCCGGTACTGCGCTTTCTGCTGCCACGTTACACCTGCAAACTTCTTAATATCATCTGTCCGCCTAATTTTCTGTCCCTCGTTCACGCGCTTGCCTTCTGTTGGAATCTAGTCCGTTACCCGTTTATCCTGCCTACTTGCTACGTGCCCGGCTTGTGTCCATTTAACATCTTGATTTCAACTGTGATGCCATTTACACCCGTTTGTTCCCTGACCCAGTCTGCCCTCTTACTGTATTTTAAGGTTGCGCCTAAAATAGGGCTTTCCAGAATCTTCCCGATTTCACAAACATCTCCTATTCACTTACCCTTTGTATAACTGACGCCGCCATTAGTAGCTTCGAATGGGCGCCATCCGAATATGGGTGACTGCATCTTGAACGTCGTATCAGACTCGAATGGATAGTGTACGGCACCATGGTCCTGCTTCACTTTTATTCCGGCTATGTAGTTTCCGCTTACGGCTGAATCTGCAATGCGATAGTCGTTGGCAAAAACGGTTTGGTCTCCACGCTTTTTCCATTCAGCCAGGGTTCACAAAGTCAACAAAGCCCCCGAGAGACGAGTGACTGCTGACGCTGTGTAAATTATTATTTCTAAGAACGGAATTGTTCGGTTCGCGCATGATGTATGACGTAACTTATATCAATCGTAGTTCGTTGATTTTCACTAAGATATCGCCAAGAACCGGTGGTTTTTGCTTGCGTTGAGTCATTGTTTTGCTTGTACTGAGTGACTGAAAGCGCATTGCAATTCACGCATAGCCTTCCCTCGGGCTCGGACCTACTGCAATGTTTGTCATTAACCAGATTCACTCGGGCTCATTAATGCGATAGCGTTAATAAGCTCGTTTCGCCGAAATTCCGGCGTCGCTTTCGGTGCCGTTGGTTTTGAACGACTAACCGCTTTGTCCGTGTCCAACAAATCTAGAAAGATGCAAATAAGATATTAGGAATTTACGGGTCCGAGTGAAGATCGAACCCAAACCGTTCGCATAGCAAGCAGGTGTTCTCGACACCTATGATCGGGAATGCAGTGAAAGGAGCTCCGGTCGTAAACGCAGTAAAAATGACTTTCATGGTTTACAAGCACACGCGTTTAAACACACATCTCCAAACACACGAGCACAGGCTTCACAATACAACGTGTAATATCGCAGTGATATTGCGCGGCGCAAGCGATCGGTGGTCACAACACTTGATTATCACAACGACTTCATGATTTAAAGTCGGCCAACCATTAGAAAAATGCACTCATGTAACTGCACGTATTCCCTTAAGATCACGTAGTGGCTGCATAGCAAGTTCGAAAACATCTCACGCGCATTGAAGTATGCATCAATATGCGGAAGCTTCCCTGACACAAGCCACTTTCAACTTTACGAATCAAATTGCAGTAATCCGCAACTTCAACTTCTCGACCAACATCATACAACAGAAGTGTGCACTAAGCAGCGGTGCATGTGCACACTATAGGGACAAGTTATTGCTGTCGCGTTCAATACTAAAACTCGAAACTTAAGGGTCCCCCAAGTTTCTTTTTTTTTCTTTACCGGACTCACTCGCACTCAAACTGAACAAATATTACTCACCCGGACTCGCTCAGACTATGGATCACGGCTTGGTCTGAGACCGAGACGACTCATGATCAGTCTGCTGACATGCGCTCGTGGTTACTGAGCAGTTTTTACGCGCCGACAGTTTTCGACCTATCTGTCACAACGAACGCTTTCTTTTTTAATTAAGGTGGCCCTGCAATTTAGATAACCACTCTTAGAGCCAAGTAGTTTATCGATTTTAGTGGTGCAGAAATAAAAAAAATAAGGTAGCTGGAAGTCTGTAATAATGTAGAGTAGAAAACGGCGGAAAAACTACAATTGGAAACGCAGGTTAAAAACATTCGAGACGTTATGCTCCTATTGCTATTAACACACCAGCGGTTGGTCGTCAAGTAACAAAAAAAGAAGGTGGTCGGAAGATAAAAAAATTGTAAGTGTTGCAGATGCATATTCACGCAGTATTGTGACGGCTGGAACCACGAATGAAGCAAAGGCTCTCATGACGTTGGTGTCTCACCTAAAAAAAAAAGACCAAGAAGAGAAAAGTATGATGAAATATGTTATACATTGAGAAGTTCTAATTAACGGTGTCTGAAAATCAACATTTATTACGTGTTTGACCCATGTCGCTCTCACCGTACGTAGCGAGTACCTAAGGGACACTAAAGGCTAATGTTAAGTCGAAGTTTATTGCTGAAAGAGCGGCCCAGAAACCTCGTGGTGCTACTGGAGAGCGTCCGAGGGAGCTGTGTTGGTGGCAGTGGCCCCTCCCAAGTTCGCTGACATTGGCCGCTAGGGGCACGCAGAGAATTACGGACACGCGAACGCCCCCCCCCCCCCCCCCTCTATCCCGGACCTAGCTACTACAGCCCGCATAGCCCAGCCACAGTCAACACCTCCTATATGCTTGACAAGGCCTGCGACCAACGTGAAGTGACGTCAGCTATGTCACGTCGCACCTGTGTCGCCACAGTCCCACCTAGCGGCTGTGTCCCAGTGCGGGATTCGTTCCAGCTCGTGCGCGATAGTGCCCGGTTTCTGAAATATCTTTTAGGAGTGAAGCTCCTCTTAGTCTAATCTTGTCGCGCGTCAGGCGTAACCGGCAGTATCGAACAGTATAATAGATGGCGCTGTCTCACAGAAGTGCACACAAACAACAGTTGAGTGACGATATTCTAGATGGCGCTGTATCGCTACTCGCCAAGTGGCTGCTGCGCGGGCTGTGCCTGGGTTCGCGGGGAACGAGTGCCTCTCTCCGACTTCTGGATCGTCGCCGTACGTGTCGGATCTTTGGTTGGGCATGGTCGAAGCGGCGGGGTGGGCGCAGTGGGCCGCGGCGGCCATGTCGATGCAAGCCATGTCCACGCTCAACGGACATTCCATGAAAAGCAGACGAGGACAAAAGAGGGAAGTGGACTGTCTCGGCAAATAATCGTGTCCTCAAAAATGTCGTGCACGATTGTTTGGGACGCGCTTACCTGCTCTGCACTGTGCCGCACTATTTGTATTTGAAATGAACCGTTACCAACTGACCCAAGTGGCGTTTCGCTACTATCCGATTGTTCGGTAATAGCCATAAATCTCCCGGAGAACATCCCCAACCTCACCGTGGTCAGAAAATAACAACAAACAACCGAGGTTCTAAAATTCTCTTCATCTACGTCATGGAAAGTGCTCCTTAGGTAACTTTTTCCGCAGTACTGAATTGTCATGCGGAAAAACGTACAAAAAAAAATTACACATGCGTTCAGGGGCCGCGTATTTGCGAGTGCTGGCGTGATCGGTTACCTCTAAAACCTTCACTGGTTATGATTTAAAGCAGTTAGTGACGTTGCTACGGCCCCAAGAAACAATAAGCGAGAACGTAACCTTTGTTTAACGCTTATTATGCGTATTTCGAGGTGATAACGAATTGAAGATGATACGAATATTTTTGAGGACCCCGCGAGGTTCTTATCACCGATGTTTTACCGCATAAGTCGATGATTTCAGCGAGCGATTCATTTTCAATGCGGCCGATACCGCCAGGGATACAAAGTATTATACAAAGTATATACAAAGAGCTTCATCGCACCCTCCTTGTAAACGACGTGTGTCTATGCAGCTGGTATGTAATTCTTTCGTAGAATTGCACCTATCAACTCGTTTCTCGCTTGATCATCTCGCGGGAAAGAAAACGCTTGGACCTTTTTCCCTGTATCGTAGTTGCCGTTACGTACCTACACGTAACACCTGTACGGCATGCGCGTGCAGTCAGTCTCGACGATGAATAAAACATCCACGGTGGACACAACGTAATCGCACATAGAAACCACGGCACACACGATAAAGGGTATTCTGGGATGTTTTCCCTGCTGTGTCCAATATTGCTAGCAGCCTCCACCGCCGCGGTGGTCTAGTGGCTAAAGTACTCGGCTACTGACCTGCAGGTCGCAGGATTGAGTCCCGGCTGCGGTGGTTGCGTTTTTGATGGAGGTGAAAATGCTGTAGTCCCGTGTGCTCAGATTTGGGTGCATGTTAAAGGACCCGATGTGGTAGAAATTTCTGGAGCCCTCCACTACGGCGTCTCTCATAATCATATATGATGGTTTTGGGATGTTACATTCCACGCAATCAATCAATCAATCAATCAATCAATCAATCAATCAATCAATCAATCAATCAATCAATCAATCAATCAATCAATCAATAAAACACTAGTCTAGAATTATGTATCTATATGCTTTATAATACAAAAACACAGCACCTAATACTTACGTATGAATGTTGCTCCTCAGGTGAGCGTAATATTCGCTTTTTGATCGATTATCTTCAGGAGTGTGAAAGCAGTCACCAGGTCAAAAGTGCCATGGGCGCTCAGGAAGTCCTTAAGCTTTTGCCGGGTGACTGAACCGTCTGAGAGAAAGACAGGCCAAAATTTCTGCTTTCCGAATATCTCAAGGAAAACTTGAAAAAAAAAAAAATATCCACCACGCCTGTAGCTTCTATCACTTTGTCGCTTATCATTCGCGCCCACTGATCTTATTACGAATACTTAACTAGGGATAAGATCACGTGCTACGTGACGCCAATAGGAAAAAATAGGGTGTTCTAAACTCGCCGCAATGCAAGCTGGTGGCACTGACGGGCTCTCCAAATGCACATATATTCCCTATAATGTAAACGGAGGCATGGCCGCCACCGCAGATCATTGGTAGTGCACCGGACGCGTTATTGGAAGGTCGCACGGTGGCTGGTTCCTGCTGGTGGCTAGTCATCTTTTCGTCCACTTTTCTTTCTTCACATTTACATTACTTCTAATAACATCCCATCTACTTTTTTGACCTCATTGCCGGCTAATTCTCGGTAAATTGTGTCTGACAAAGAAAACAATCCCCCAGATAAATTTAGACTTTTGCCCCGCCGTGGTGGTCTAGTGGCTAAGGTACTCGGCTGCTGACCCGCAGGTCGCGGGATCGAATCCCGCCGGCGGCGGCTGCATTTCCGATGGAGGCAGAAATGCTGTAGGCCCGTGTGCTCAGATTGGGGTGCACGTTAAAGAACCCCAGGTGGTCGAAATTTCCCGAGCCTTCCACTACGGCGTCTCTCATAATCATATGGTGGTTTTGGGACGGTAAACTCCACATATGAATCAATCAATCAGTCAATCATATCAATCAATTGTTTCGTGCATGTATATATACAGTCGTTCACAGTGTGAAAACCTTCGCGAGATGTGACCTGTCGAGATGGAAAATGCTTGATTTTGCGGGCGATCCTGCGAATACGCTTCTGGACATCAATAGTAACATCATAAATAGGATCGAAGTAGGTTTAGTGGCCTGAGATCTCTGCAAACACTGTTGCGAAGGGCTTACCAGTTTGTTGCCGCCATTGAAATGCAGATACATCGTGCCGCTGTGCTACTTTATGCGAGCACGTGGGGCAGGACGAAGCGGCGATGACACGTCTTCAGGCCGCAATGGCTGTACCGTTGATGTCGTTCGCTGTTGATGAGCAACATCACAGATTTTTTTTTCGGTCCTCGCGGCCGCAGTCTTCTCGCAAATGCGCCAGACAAAAAAAAGTAGCAGTTGCGGAGGCACAGCTGCATTGGGCGCACCGCGGGTCACGAAGAACCTCTCTCCTGCCTCAGCTGGCATTGTCAGAACAAACTATACGCCGAGGAAATGGAATTAGGCGCCCGCTTTGTCTGTTCTTCGTCCCGCGTCGGGAACGGCGACGATGTAACCAGACAGAAACGTTCAATAAAGCACGCCCGCTAGTGTTAACGAACCGAGGTGCGGCTAACTCAGCGCTGAGTTACTGCTTCGGGGGTCGGCGAGACAGAGGAGCCACGATGTCTACGACAACACGTCGAGGATTTGTCGGCCTCTCTCCGAGAATTCCCCCCAGCGTCTGCTGGAAGAATGGCCTTTCACAGGGCCGTATTTCCAAATGTGAAGTCGTGAGCTAAATGGCTACCGCGAGGCACTCGGCCAGAACTGAAGTTACTGTCGACTTTCTCTGCTAATGTGTTCCTAAAGCGAACTTCAAGGTGAAAGAAGAAAAGAAAAAGCTATGCTGACTACGGTGGTGTTGAGTTAAGGCTACATCGTCTCTTTCCGAGACTTGTACAAATAAACACGACATGTGAGAGAGTTGTGCGATAGTCTATACTATGACGGCAGTCTCAGGTTTATTTTGGGATAAAGAAGGAACTCCTGTGCGCTTTTCAGGCATGTTAGGCTGCGTCGCATTTATAAACGCACTTGCCTTCAACTCGAACTATTGCACAACTCCAGGGGAGGTTGAAGGGGAAAAAAAAAAAAAACATTTGTTCAGGGTACAGCTTTTTCTTTTTTTATTTCTTGCAGTTTTTGACAAACTTGTCCGCGCTTATCTTGGATCGTCTGGTTGATAATTTGTGGCCGTGTTGATTCCATAATGCTGCACGAGCGTTGTCACGTGGTATGGCTTAAATCATTTCACAGCTCATGGCGTGGGTAGTTCTTCCATCTCGTCCTGGCGTAGTGGTCCTTGTGAACAACGTATGCCGAGTTGAGGCTGCTCGAGTTCTTGCAACCTGCGTATAGCCAACGAACAGGAGGAGTTGCATGAAGTGGGAATTAGGGAACGAGATGTCAACGCTCTTTGAGTGTGTTTCATGAGCGATATGTCACGGACGAATGACCGACCAAGTCGCTATTATTGGCCATTCTGTGACAGAGACACTATAAAGTCGTAAATAGTTACGGTTGGCTTTGCTAGAGACCAGTGTTTTTAAATACGATATCTGGAACGTAGCTAAAGAAAGTTTCTAAAAATAGTGCTAGAAACTGATGCGATGAGCGGTATGCGTAAAAAATAGAGAAGCTACTTGTGAAACCAGAAAATAATTCTAATAGTAAAAAAATATATACGATATCGATGATTACGATATTCCCTAACGAGAATTTCTATTGGAAGACGACGTACCTGCACTAGTTTCGCCCCTCATTGTCCAAAACACAGAGACGCTTGGCGCATGGGAACTTCAGAGCATGAACATGGAAACGCGCGGCTCGTGCATTACGTATTGTGGCGGTGGCGGCGGCCTTGGCGAACTGATGCTTTCGCAGTGTGTTCTAAGTGCACGTCAGCACTTGTATCTACATATGTGCTTTTATAGGTGGACGCGCTGCTGGTATGCCGCAGTAATGGTGAATACATGAAAATATGGGTGACGTGACATTTATTCAATAACGGCGCATTGAAAACGAAGGTTTAATAAATACGTGGGACACATAGCTAGCACCGTCACCTGAGCGCCGTGTTACACGACAGTGGTGGATATCGCCTCTTTCTCTTTAATATCGTGTTGCGGCCATTGTGATAAACCTCTGCCGCATCTCGTATATGGAACGGTCCGGTGAGGGTTGATTGATTGATTTGTGGGGTTTAACGTCCCAAAACCACTATATAGTTATGAGAGACACCATAGTGGAGGTCTCCGGAAATTTCGACCACCTGGGGTTCTTTAACGTGCACCTAAGTCAGTACACGGGCCTGCAACACTTCCGCCTCCATCGGAAATGCAGCCGCCACAGCCGGTATTTGATACCGTGACCTGCGGGTCAGCAGCCCTGTACTTTAGCCACTAGACCACCGCGGCGGGGTGGTCCGGTGAGTGTGCCTTGTGACGCGCACAATTTACGTCGATGCTACACGCAGCAGCGGACGCCTAAGATATTCGCTCTAAAACGAAACACACATGCTAAAATGCGCGGTCATCACACGGGCTGATAACATAGTAAGGCGCCCATCACCTCGAGTCGGAAGAATCTTGTGAGCACAACTGTCTGTGTAATTGTTTCTGCTTCGCACGTCTTCAACGTGTGAATGCTTTACAACACCTAAGGGTTTTACGCCAAAGTCACGATATGGTCCTGAGGCACGGTGTAATAGGGGGCAACTTTTGCCACGCGGTGTTAAGGTGCACCGACATCAAAAACTACGTCTCGCATCTACCGAAATGCGACTGGGATTGAACCCACGACCTTCTATATTGAACAGCAGAGTGCCATGACCGCAACACCAAACCCGGCGGACCAACGTGGAATTCGACCACTGCGCTTGTCCTTGTCTTTTTCCCGTCCGGGTTTTCTCCCGCGTAGTAAACCTAGATCATGTATCACACCAATTGGCCCAATCTTCCACTTCGTTTCACTTAGAAGTGTGGCAGTTTGGGCTAGTTATGACATGACGATAGTGATAGCGCGAGAACTCATTGTCGTCGTTTTGTTCTCGCGCTATAACTATCGTCGCGAAGTTTAAGCTTTGACGTGTCTTCAGTGCACAAGTTCTGTTAGCAATCGTGGTTACTTTTTGTACAGCAGTGTTCCCATCTGTCGTTGTTTCTGAACTCACCCAGCAACTGCATCGTCCGCTCAAGCTCACTCCTTAGTATGTCCAGAACTCTGTCCACACCCTTCTTGCCCTGTGCAGAGAAAAAAAAAACGGGAGAATATATGAACAATGCCGCTGTGCAGCAAACATAATAGTCAGTCCTACACTGAGAAACCACACGTGCATACTGAAGCACAAACAGCGCAAACGATTGCATGTCCACCGTTCAGAACATGGGTACTTTGAACGGCCTGCTTATTGAACAGTTTAGGTCCGCTGTCTGAGAACAAAGTTCGTGGCTCACTAACACAACTAGCCTGGTTTAGTGGGCTTGTGTCGTTGAGTTATGCGATCTTGGTTTGAAGGAAGAGCTCGAAAAGGCAGTGGCTTATAGCGTTGGTGAACAGAAGGACAAAGAAGATACACCGGACACATCGCTATTTATAGGAATGTGCCCAGCGTGTCTAGTGTGTCCATATGTTCTTGCTGTCCCTGTATTTACCAATGCTAAGATACTACCTTTTCAAGGTGCACCAATAAGCCCACATCCCTACTCTAGAAATGCTCGAAGTGTGTCTAAATGTGATAAAACCTAGATTGTTTTTTTCGCATAATACTTTCTCTTCCTCTGTTATATAGAGGTACGCATAATTTGCGCGAAACCACCATAGAAATTATGTAATGAGCCTGATGTAACGTTGTATTGGGTCTGTTTACATATATGAAATGGCGTACAACCAGAAGGAAGCTTAGACAAGTCCGAACGACGTGGAAGAGCCTATGTGCATATCAGGGAACCACCTTGCAAAGTTTATTTGCCGGCAAGGCCCTCGCAATAGGTATGTAGCGAAAGGCAGAGAGACGACGCGACAGCGGCCGACGTGGCCGTGCCGATCTCTTCGCTTTATTCTAGATGGTACAAAGCAGAGTGGCGGCAGCTGCCTGCTTTCGTACCGCTAGGACTTGTTCTAATCCAGCGCGTGGCTCGCACATCACGTGCCACGTTTCTTTTTCTTCGCGGCCAGCTGGCCAAACTTGCCGTGGCACTACAAGTGATGACACGGAAATTGTTTGGAAGAGAACTTGCCGTGGTGGCGGGATACGTCTCTTAGTGCTGGTCCCTCACTATATATACGTATCTCATTAAAGAATAAAGTCGAGGCTTCCGCCGAAACCTTCACTTGCTACGTCTCTCATTACTATAACTGTTGCTGCTAAACAAGTCAGTAGGCTCTGCTTACGTTGTACGCGAGGCCCCAGATGGCCGGTCTTCCCAAGAACACCGCCCGGGCTCCGAGGCTGAGCGCCTTGACCACGTCAGCGCCGCTGCGGACTCCGCTGTCCAGGTAGACCTCCAGCCGATCGCCCACAGCCGACACGATTTCAGGCAGCGCTTCGATCTGGAAGATGAACAGCTCAGTTAGCTTATTATTGTGTTCTAGGAATGCTGATTTGCTTCATTTAACGGCTTTGTTTAAGCACTAAAGCGTTTCGCTTGCTGGCTTCGAGCAAAATACTACCCGCCCCCACATCTGTGTGCAAACGTCATGTACTCATCGTTATGTATGTATTCTGAACTGTCCAGGTGGTCAAAATTTCCGGAGCCCTCCACTACGGCGTCTCTCATAATCAAATAGTGGTTTTGGGACGTTAAACCCCACAAATCAAATCAAATCAATCATCTTCTGAACTGACGATGTTTTGGGCTACCTTTCTCCGATAGACGATTGAACTTTTAAGAACTCCGACTTCCTAATCAGGTGTTATATTTCAGGAATAGGACAATATTCATACTGGTAGCGTAGGCCGAAATTCGTTTCAGTAGGGGGCGGGAGTGAGGGGACGCTTGAGGTGAAGGGGGGTGGTGGGGTTGGGCAGACAAATGCGTGGTACAGCATCATTTTGTGCTGTGTATGCAACGGCGGACTGAAACTGCACATAGAGCACGTGCCCGGTGTACCACCCCCCTGGCTATGCCACTGATCCATACCAAATGATTTGGACAAAGTCTATCTGAAGCCGAAGATCCCTAAGCCACGTCGAAATTTCAGAGGCAGTCTGATGCAACTTGGCTGGAAGTTTTAACTTGCCGTTGGTATAGATGATCGAAAAACGGTCACAGTTTCGTGCTGGGGGAGAAACAGAGGAAAGATTCGTAGAAGGGAAGTTTTTCGGCTTAGGCGCAGTTCAGTAACACACGCTTGAAATCGTAACTGTCTTCAGTAGCCGAGATTGCGGACTGCATTGGATGTAATGAAACCCACTGGGAACAGGCAGTCTAGGTGAGATGTCAGCATCGCGTTTAATAGGGATGTCAGGCAATAGCTTCAACATCGTTATTAATAAAAGAAACACGTCACCAAAAAAGACAACTCTTCGCAAATGACCTGTGCGGACTTCAAACTTTTGTAATCGGAAAACTGATCCCACCCCTGGTTACCATGGCTGAGCTTAGTGATAATTCAGACAAAGTGTCTCACCAGACGCCGAGAACAGAATTAACACGTCGGACTCGCCGCATATACACGTAGATGACTTGTCATTTACAGTGACATGAATATTGAGAAAAAGTACGCCTTTGTAAAGTACAAAAGCTTGTGACCATGCATGGCACAGTGGATAGCGTGCCCGGCATCTGTTGTTCGTACTGACGGGAAGTCGTAATTTCGACCCATTTCATGGAACGTTTTAATGTCAACTGATAGCAGGTATTTTTACGTCATTTCTGTGACGGATGTACGTCACTTAAGGCTTAGTTAGTGGACACCAAGATGCAACACTTTCGGGTTCAAAAATTCACGGACGAACATTTCAATTTAACTTGCACGCTAGAATAATGACCGATACTCCTGGCAGGTAGTGCAATGTTCTGGTTCGTGCAAAAACTGTCTCCTCGAAATGTATTCTAATGTGTCTTAGTCACTAGTTGATCTCAAACTTTCAATTGTGGTAGTTAATTATTGGGTACCCTCTGTCCGAAGCATGGAACCAAAGGGAAAGTCATACGTGCTTCGTGTGGTTTCGTGCTACAAACAGGTGGTTGTTAGTTATGTCTGTTATAACAATTACGCCACCTTGCGGAATTCCGCTGAACTCCCTCGGAAGTTTCGCTCATACTGGCACCTCTAGCTATCTGTAACTACGTCTTCTCCTCTGCCTCTTTCTCTCTGTATACGACTGTAGCGGATCCCTGAGCAGAGCTCGTGGTGTCATATCGTAACGGCTTGGCAATGGCTATGAACAATACACACAATTATGCGTTGACGTTCATCAATAATCGGCGAACCTGCCACTTATTGGAATATGGCGCATTTAATATTTATGCTATTGCCAATATATTTTTGGCATAATGTCTAACCGTTTCAGATCAAATTTTTTCTTCTTGTACAGGAATTTTCCGCGAGACGTACATAAAAGAAACAAACAAAACGGGTGTAGAATAAATGTGGCCAGTTCTGTTTAATTAAACTTGTGCAGTTAGGGCACACCATAGGTCGGCAAAAATAATAATAATTAGAGCTCACTCGCACTCACTGAAGACGCATATTTCGGACCCACTCAGAGTCGGACACGTTGGGCTTAGTCTCAGTCTGACTCATTCAAACTTAAACTCACCAGCTCATTATTCAGCCGGACTCGCAAAGAGTCCGGCCCCGCTGTGTTGGTGTAGTGGTTATGGCGGTCGAATACCACCCGGAGGTCGCGGGATTGAATCCCAGCTGCGGCGGCTGCATTTCTGATGGAGGCGAGAATGTTCGAAGCCATTGTACTCATATTCAGGGGGACGTTAAAGACCCCCTCCACTACAGCGTCTCTCATAGATATGGCGGTTTCGAGGCGTCAAACACCGGGTATCATCATCATCATCGCTAGAAGTCGGGGAGGGAGGTTGATTCACGAGTCCGTTAGCCTACATTTAGCTTTTTCGGTCTTGTTGTCAATACGCTTTGACGCCAATATCTCACCCAATCAGTGCTCTGCGATAGGTCTTCTAGTATGAGTTATCAGATGATTTCGATCCATTAAGGAAGTTTCGTGGAATATCAGACTCACGAGAGATTTTTTTTATCAAGAATTTTCCGTGCAAAAGTTTACAAGCGGAAGTCAAGGACTTAAATCGCGCCTCTAATTAATAAATACTCTGGTGGTGTACGAACGTCAGTGTGTTGAGACAGATGTGAATTGATTAGAGTATAAACATAAGCTGATATAAGGCTGACAGTAACGCTTAAGTTGAGCAGATAGATATGGCTCAACAGGTCGAGTTTACTCACTCTCTTAAAAAAATGTATATTGTGCTACTGACTCCTTCGGACTCGCTAAACGCTCCCTCAACCGGATTCACTGGTACCCAAACAGACACACACTCACGGCCCAAATTCAGTCCACTAGAGTCGAAGGAGTCGATTCACGAGCGAGTTTGCCGACCTATGGTGTACACAGAACGATAAAGAGTTGATATAGTTGGTAAGGATTCATTATGAAACAAGACAAGATGTGTCGACATGGCCAAAAGAGAAGAAAGCAAGACCACACAAACTGTATATGTTGACTTGTTCTCCCAGGTCAACGTCTGCACGCCGTATACCTTCTTTAGTGTAATTGAATATGAAAAGAGCGCAACAGACAAATGCTGATGAAGATAACGCACACTAATCGATAACACATGCCAATCTTTGTCTGTGCCTGCCCAAGTTGCCCGAGTCTTTTTACAACCTGCCCAAGTTGCCCAAGTCTTTTTACAACCTGCCCAAGTTGCCCAAGTTTTTTTACAACTTGCCCAAGTTGCCCAAGTCTTTTCACAACCTGCCCAAGTTTCCATGCTTGCTCAGTGTACTTGGGGTCGGTTATCCTAGAAGCCTAGTCGTCAAGTATTAATGTGTGCAGCTTCCGCCGTAAGATTCCACAGGAATTTTCGCTCGTCTGTTATCTCATGCTTAAGATACTACCTAACAAACATAAGACTAAATCCTGTATTAAAACTTTTCAATAAAATACGCACCGAGGCCGGCGTCCCGTCTAGTTGGCGGCCTCCGTGATTGGACACCAATATGGCAGCCGCGCCGTGGCGGTAGGCTTGAAGAGCTGCTTCACCTGGTGTTAAAGGAACAACAACAAAAAACGAACTAATGCAATTTTCTTTGTCAGGAACACTGCGAGTCAAGGATACTAGAAGAGAAACTTGTGCTAGTTGGTGGTTTTTCGTTAGGTAGAAAAAAAAACAACGCTTAAAACGGACGAGGACAAGTGAAGACGTTATCAAGGCGCTGAACTTGCTTCACTTGTCCTCGTCCGTTTTAAGCGGTGTTTTTCCTATTTAAGGAATGAAGCATAATTCAGTAGAAACAGAAATACAGGTGCCGTATAGGCACATGCACAGAAGGCAGTTTCGTCTGAACGGTGAATCACTTACAAAAATAAACTATATTAGGTGCTATAGCGGTAGCAATGACCATATAAAAGCGTTCTTCGCTGTATCGGGTCACTGCGCACTATTTAACAGTCGCATACTAACTAAATAAGTGAGCACTCTGCCAAACAGGAACACATGACAAGGGAACGCAAACGTGTCTTAATCTATTATTCTTAATACTGTTTTTGTAATGCTGGGGTGATTAAACAGAATAAAAGGGGGGGGGAATAGGAGGCACACTTTCGCCGCAAGGGTGAAGTAATGCACGCGGTAGCAACATATCGAAATTACACACGGAAAACGGCAAGGAGATCGAAACTCGAAGCGCGCTGCTCAAGCACAAAGGAAAACGGCAAGGAGATCGAAACTCGAAGCGCGCTGCTCAAGCACAAAGTACGCCGTGCCTTCATGTGTCACGCCTTCGTCCCGCAGCACACGTCATTTTTTTACAACGTGTGTAGAGCGCAGAAGACACTGCCTTTTGTGACATCGACTTCCCCATCTGAGCTATAGTTAAGAAGAGCGTTTTTTTTTATACTGGTGGAGAGATGAACTGACGTGTGAGCAGTCCCTTGACAACTACTGGAAGTCCGGTTATCCGCTTGAGCCAGCCGATGTCCTCCCACGACACGGAGCGAGAGATGGATTGATCCACATTCTCCTGGTTGCCAGACTGGACTTTGGACTTATCGTTCCGTCCCTGGAGGTTGGCGAACCTGCGAATGGCCATGAGTGGTAACTAAACGTTTAATTCATATAAAAGATTGTAGAATGTGCTCAACGTTCATTTAGTAAATCTTGCTGAAGCAATAGGCAGACATCCCAAGACGAACTCCCTTACTCGTCAAGGCGCTGCGGTCCTCACATAATGTTATTAGTAGACGCAAACGCCGCTTTATAATGCTGAAGCAGTAGGTAATTAGGCGAACAAGTTTACTGGTTCTTGAAAGAAGCATGCGAGGGCATGCGGAGGGGGTGGAAGCAGGACTACGATGAGTCCTCAGGTCGCTCTAGATGGCCGGACACTTCCGTGCCTCGGTGACCGCCTCCAGTCCAGCCCACTGTGGGCATGTTCTATTGCATATACCCACGAATTGACTGCCCCCAATGTTAACTTGTGTGGAGCGAACTTTGAGCAAGACATATATTCTCGACACGGTCGTACTCACGTCACGTTGGGCGGAAGGTCGAAGCGGTTCTTGACGGGCCCCAGCTTGTGTCCGACGACGGGCGAGTCGGCGGTCAGCACGATGGCCGAATATCCGGCCTTGGCCGCTCGCTTGACCAGCCACTCGGTGACCGAGCGGTCGCGGAACAGGTACGCCTGGAACCAGAGCAGGGCGCGAGGCGCTCTCGTGCGAACCTCTTCCAACGTCGTGGTGCTCAGCGAGCTCAGGATCATCACGATGCGGGCGTCCTGCGCGGCTGTTCCGGCGACGAGAGTCTCGTACGTGGGCGTGTTTCTCAAAGCGGCGTCGGGTTACACAATCGAATTGATGTTTTCAAACGAAACACACAATCGTTTGTCTGCTTAGAATATCAGAGAGCTTAACTAATGTGAGGTGGGGAGAGAGAGAGAGAGAAAGAAAGAAACGAAGAGGGAAAGGCTGGGAGGTTAAGCAAGCTTTGTCTCGGATCGAGCCCATCCTCAGCCCAGAAGGCTTTGAAAGCTTTGCTGCGCTTTTTGCGGACAACTGGCCTCAGAGACACACTTTAGTGTCTTATACTCTTTGATGTTGCCTTTCCTCTGTCGCAATATTTTTTGTGATTTCTCCCTCTCTTCGCAACATTTCTTTTTAACATCTTTCATTCCCCTCACCCCTTTCCCGAGCACAGGGTAGCCAGCCGGTCTAAGAACTGGCTAACCTCCCTGTCTTTCCGCTTAAACTTTCTTCCTCCTCCTCCTCCTCCTTGTCTCGGATGGCTACCCTACACTTGTGGCGGGAAAAGGGGTAAACAACAGAAAGAAAAGCCTAGAGAAGAAAGAAGAGTAAGAAAGGGATGGATGAACCGTTAGCGGGAAAGTAAGCAGCACGAAGTCGCGCTCTAAGTCCGTAAGCGCTCGTGAAGTTCCGTGGTCCTCAAGAAGCACAAGAGGGCTTTCGTCGCTTTGAGCATATTCGAAAGCGCAGGCCAAGGATCTCCCTTTCTGTAAGTCATCTTCAATTCAAATGACGGAGGTCGGCTTCGATATGTGTAATTGAATCGGGTATGTTGAGCAGGGGCACACACAATGTGCTCAAGTGACTCCTGGCAGGCGCAAAAGCTGCATCTCGCACTGCGATCCATGGAGACGCGAATGCAACGAAACACGAAATGCAGTCGTAAATGCCACACCCAACTTTGTGCCAAAAAAAAAAAAAAGCTTGATATGGCTAAGTGGCAGTCTCGGAGGCAGTGCAAAGCAGTGCTAGGTGCGTAAATGCCATGCCCAACTTTGTGCGAAAAGAAAGCTTGCAGCGGCTCGGTGGCAGTCTCGGAGGCAGTGTGAAGCAGTGCTAGGCGCAGAAAGCTTTTTTTTTCTTTGGGGGGGGGGGGGGGGGGGGGGGGCTGGCAGATTGATTTTATCGACTGTGAAGCAAAATCGTGGTTTCCTAAAATTAACTACATGGCACTCTGGCGCTGCAATCGTTCAGCGACCATGGGAATGATGGATAGTACACGGATTCGCCTATAGTCTTCGTGCTTGCGGGCTTCGAACCGCACTTGTGGCTTTGCTTATTGCCGTGTTTTCGGTTTTGTCTCGAAGGAAAGAACGAACACGTTCGAACTTCGTGACCCTATTTGAGATGGTAAGCCTAAAAGGTTAATTTAGTGAAGCGCAACTGATAAACTATGGCTGATTGTTGTTTCGCGACGAAACAGCTTCAAGTACTTTGCAGCCAAAAGGAACGTAAAGTACAATGACTAGGCGAATTCATGTACTACCTATAATTCCCACGCTCGCTGAAGCGCCATGCGTTTCACCTCCCATAGACACTATAGCGCCACAGTTCTCTCTAGTGTATATATAAAAGAAACTATGAGCGAAAGACGCAGAAGATATATATGGGACACATATGGGACACTGCGACCTTTTAGTTAAAAAAAATAGCCGGCTAGAATCTGCAATCTCTTGTAGAGTTGGTGGCCACAGTCGAGATATGTGTGTGTGGCTAATGGTCTTAGGCTTCCTTGTTTTTTGCTGTCTCTATTTCGTCAACCATTCATCATTTCCTCAGGAGCATACTGCAAGAAATGGCAGCTGGGCCTCGGTGGCTGCGCCTAAGAGGGTTAGATTGGGGGGGGGGGGGGGGGGATCAAGGTCCGCGATTTCGCTAGCGTATGTATCGCGCACACAAACAAACGCACATGCATAAAGAACAGAGAATGAGTAAACATCCCCCCCCCCCCCGAAAAACATTGTGTCTACGCCCTGGTGGTGGTGGGCCTGGCTGATATGCCTATTGCCTATGTGAATTTGCACAAAGGAGGCATATGTACACTCTCTCTCACACACAATATATATATATATATATATATATATATATATATATATATATATATATATATATATATATATATATATATATATATATATATATATATATATATATATATATATATATATATATATATATATATATATATATATATACACACAACGGAAATAAGCCTCTGGCGTGTCGGTTTATGTTGTGGATAGTTAATAAAACAGAACAGCACACTGCTTTGTAGCAATGGCTGACTGTGGAGTCTTACCTTGTGCAGTTGCCACCTCACCATCATTGTGTGCCAGCTTCTGCAGGGCCGTCGGGGAAAACCCGATGGGCATCGATATGCGGTGTCCCAGCACTGTGGTCGTCGTGTCCACTTTCGAGACGTCCACCAAAAGCTTAGGTCGGAAACGAAGTCTGCACGACAGCAGCGAACGCGTTAAACGCGCGGCAGAGCCTCGTTTCTCAATCCGCGTTTTCCATTTTCCTGTGCTGCCCTCTGGAGTAATGAACTGGCATTGCTAGAAGGAAGGCCTACGAGAAGCAGCGGGGTGGAAGATTTCTTTGAGGACACTTAACGTTCTAGCGCGAGCTTTTGAGGTAAAACTTTTAAAGCTCAAAGTAAAGGGGTTGGGGTTTTCCTAAAACCACGTTTGCACGTATTTTAAGAGACGTGCAATCATGGCTTCCTAAACCCATGCTTGGCTTCCTAAAACATGACTTTGTAAATCCACCTTTGCACGCATTTAAAAGCTTCGCTCTTAAGAGACGTGGCTTTAGGAAAACTCTAACTACTTCAGAACAATCTGACTACATTTGGGGAAGCACACAACAGACTTCGTAGAACAACCTGAATCAGTCACCCTCACGTAGGGCTACTATGCAACGAAAAGAAAAAAATACAAAAGCCGATTGCGCATGGAATTACGCAGATGAAGTGGCAATAAAATAAATGACTAGTACATCATAAAGCACAAGAAACCTAAGAGTATACCACAGGATAAAAACTTCCTAAACACATTCTTGAGATTTGTGTCACATTAACGTTTTCAATTTTGCTAGTGGTGAGGGCTGTATATAACTTGCACTCTTGTATGCATTAAGTTGTCTTGGTAGATAATTGCGTACCATTCAATAAGCACAGTTTGCCCCGGGGAACATTGAACTGGGAGCGCCGTATGCCGTTTCACACCGAAAAGTAGGAAGCCGACCTTTTGAAGGCTTCCGTGTTCTCCTTGAGGGTCTGCTGGCGATCGGATCCCGAAAAGAAGTACCTCCTCGCCTGCGGTTCCAGCTTGAGTCTGGCCACGCGTTCGACGTCTGCGACCGTGACCAGCGCGCTGTCCGACACCGGCGGAGCCTGAGAGGGCGGCTCGTCGTCCTCGCTGTTCGACAAGACCACCACGAGACCCAAGTAGTCCCACGAGATGTCGGCGTACCGGGCGTAGTCCTGGTTCGGGCTTTGCACCTTCCTCTCGGTCGGTTCCCGCGGCTCGGCGGTGATATTGGGCGCGTGGATGAGAGTGTCGTTCTCGTCGTGCTGCGCGCCCAGAGTGGCAGCGGGGCCGGACTCGGGAACATCTTGGACCACGTCGATTTGACGGTGATTGAGCGGCGGTAGGTCGTCTCCGAAGGGCGGGTATAGTCGTTTCTGCGGGGACGGCTCTGTCCCGGAAAGGTGGTCACTCGGAGGACTCTTTGCGGTCACGGAGATGTCTGAAATGCGGAGCGATAACCATTCATCACAAGGATTTCTCAATTATATTACAGAAAAAAAGTGGCGATAAAAGTTCCATCGAGCGAAACCCCAACTAGATCGTTGGGATCACGTAGAGAAGCGGATATCGCACATATTATAGTTATTCTCGAGCTTTCATATAGGTAGCAGGTCGCGGGTTCGAATCCCGGCTGCGGCGGCTGCATTTCCGATGGAGGCGAAAATGTTGTACGCTCGTGTGCTCAGATTTGGGTGCACGCTAAAGAACCCCAGGTTGTCGAAATTTCCGGAGCCCTCCACTACGGAGTCTCTCCTAATCATATTGTGGTTTTGGGACGTTAAACCCCACGTATCAATCAGTATGAAGAACATAGCGTAGCGGAGGGCACCGGAGATTTTCAATTATCGGGCGCTCATTATCACCATGATCTTTATATTTATAACCTCCCCTGTTCCTGAAGGTCTTTTATTGGAGGTCTTGAAATGTAGGCTATCTTGACATTCCAAACTTGGCCGCCCCGTCGATATCCAGCGTATACGACGGCGCCGTGGTCTATATATATATATATATATATATATATATATATATATATATATATATATATATATCGGCGCATGCGCGCTTCAAGTGTCACGTTGAACAGAATGTCACACTTTTAAATGATAACGGAGACAAAGTGTCCGGTGTTTTATACAGACCTGGTCTTATATGCCGAAAGAGCACATGACTCATATATAGCTTATCGGACATCTAGCACTTTCGGAAGATTCTGGAAATGAGCGGCCATTTACGTGTTACTTTGTGTCTGAACTTGTACCAACATTCTTGAAGCATAATTTACCATCGCAGCACGCTGCGTGTACTAGCCATTAGTTGATTAATATGTGGGGTTTAACGTCCCGAAGCCACCATATGATTATGAGAGGCGCCGCAGTGGAGGGTTCCGGAAATTTCGACCACCTGGGGTTCTTTAACGTGCACCCAAATCTGAGTACACGGGCATACAACATTTCCGCTTCCATCAGAAACGCAGCTGCCGCAGCCGGTAGTCCATCCCGCGACCTGCGGGTCAGCAGCCGAGTACCTTAGCCACTAAGCCACCGAGTCGGGGCTAGTAGGCATTGGTACATATTAAGTTGAGGTTTCTGTGAAATTTTCAAGAGCAGGGCTAACAAAACTACATTATGGAAGTGTAAGTATTAAAATTCACGGCATGTGGGAGTTGTAAATGATAGCGTATATAGTTTCTGTGACTCGTGCAATATAAAACGTGGTCATTCGTTCATGTCCTGTGAAGTTTAAAGTAGAGTAAACGAACAATAAGCGTAAAACAGATAAAAAAGCTTAAAAAATATAGCTAGACTAGTACTTAACATGCCTAAACCACACAAGGGAACATGCAATGATCTTTTCAACGAATCCGACCGCATAATCATAGAAAACTGCGCACATTACATGCACGATTCCTTACGGGGCACCGAAAAATGCGAATGAACAGCGCACGAACACACAAGAGACGTTCAAGGGCTTGTTTGTCTCGTATTACGTGTTTGTACCTTCTTAGTGCACTTTTTAAGCGATCGCAACTGACTTACTAGCCCGAATCACCACCCTTGTGATCTCGATGCATACGATGAATGGTTGCAGCGTGGCACTGCCCTGTAGTGTAAGTAGAATAGCCACGAAGGCTTCGTGGTAAGAAGTATCACTTTATCATAGGTTTATCACTTTATCATATATTTTAAATAGTTATCTTTGAACTAGGTCCCGATTCTTGCGTCCTGTTCCGCCGAGGACCCACTGCATGACAACCGTGGCTTGTCGTGCATGTTAACAGGGATACCCAGGTCCAGTTTGGAGAATTTCGATTCCCGTAACAAATTTACGAGACTGTGATAAAATGTCATAAAATAGCGGCTAGAGAACTTGAACAAAAGGCTATAGAATAGAGGACGTACAGGGGAGTTCAGAAGTTTCCAGGCCACTATCCCACGTATTCCTATATGGCAGCTGGCCTGAGAACTTTTGACCACCCCTGTACATGAGTGCATTAAGCAAGCATTGGGGATAACGCTAGAATCTACGATAACTCGTGCACAAATGCGGACACGATTCACCCTTAGGTTATATTTTTTGACGACCAACGAGCGTGGCCGGCGCTAGCTATATGCACTGAAAGTACAACCCTACTCTTTCTGAAGGGGCTATACATAGTTTCAAACGATGCACCAGGCCGCTGTCTCACGCAGGACGCGATGTATCGGACTCGCTTCACGGCGGTGACCAGTTCCACTCGCCTGTCGATAAAACGTCCTCGAGAAACTCGCGGAGCAGGCGAAAAGAGAGCGAGACACTTACCGTGCGAGGAGCACGTTGCGGCCAGCAGCAGCAGCAGGAGGTTGGCGAACTGTGCTGCCATCGTCGCACTCGCTGTGTCTGCCTCCGCGACGTGGTTCTTCCAACTGGGCAAGGGTTGTGGTCGACTCCCCGGCCGGACGAGAATTTTATTGACCTACGTTGACCCCACGAAGGTCCCTCTCACGCTTCTGCAGGTTCAATCGCTCTCTCTGTTTATGCGTTTCCAGATGGAAACAACTCGGTGAATGCATGCAAAAATGAAACCTGCGTGGTCTACGCACCGTTCTTGGCAACAAGTCGATTAATGAAATTTTTCAGCAAGCTTACAGTTTCATTTCTTGTCGTGAAAGAGGCCACTATAAAAAATATGCGGAGAGCACACAAGTCGCGTTGAGAAGAGCGCTAAACAGAGTACGTAAGAACGATTGGACGCGCTGACGTTCACGAATAGGCAAGCGAGATGTTCTGCCCTTACCAGCGTCTGCAGCGAACGGGAGGCTATGCGCTATCTTCGTCTGCCTATATTCATTGTAGCTGCACGAAATGGAAGTACCGGCTATGACGGTGCATCAAAGCACGCGAAGATTAATGCCTATGGCTGTGTGATATTGTTATATCCACCGCATCACTCGCAGAAGGAGATTTCTTCGCAACGCCTCTCTCCTCTCGGCGCACCCGCTTCACAGCGGTGGCGTGTTTCCGCTTCATACCCAAAAATCTGGCCATCGCGGACGAAGATAAATCCGCAATACGTTTGATGTACCTATCTCTTTCGTTAAGTGAGACAGGACGTGGAAGACAAGCAGTAAACTAATAGTGACAGAGCATGCGTGAGTCAACCATCGATTGACTTGCGCGAAGAGTAAATGAAATGACTCAACAGTTATTTGTCACGTGGACCCCCACGCGCGCCTTATTGATAGGTTTGCATAGGCATGCGCAGATAAGCTTTCGTGGTTTATTGCTTCTCCGCCATTGCGCGCCTTTGCAGTGTCGGCGAGTGTGGTGTTTTGACTTCTTTCTTGTAGTAGCACAAGCAGGATTAGCTGACAATATCAGAAATGCAATGATACGGCACCTCTCTAATGTGTGGCTCGCTACTTCTCAAGAGTGCTACGATAATGTTGCTGATTGCAGTGGCGATCATTGAAGACATACTGGCCCAAGAATTAAATGTTTTCAATTCGTTGTCGAAGTGCTAGAGAAAAACACGATTGATCGAATAAATACTGATTCGATTGATTGAAATTTGGTGCGTCATCTGATTTCACGGCGCCAAGGCTGAAAGACTTACAAAAAGCAATTAAACGTATGAACGACCATTTGAGCAGGATTTTATTAGAGTCCTCGCAATCTTGTCGTTTTGAAAGGCCGTGGAACTTGCGGTCGACGTACCGTCAGCATGTATCGGAGCGGGGGCGTTGCCAGAAATTTTTTTAGGGGGGGGAGGGTGCGTTACTTTTTGATTTTGGGGAGGACACCCTCTTGAAATGGTCATTTTCGCTCTGCATGCGATGGCGAAAAACATTTTTGCGGGGAGGGGGTTGGGGCCGCTCACTGGCTACGCCACTGTCTTAGAGTTGTACCTCAGGAGAACCTCCGTCTACCCTCGTGAACTTTAATCTTTGAGCGTCCCACTTATTTTCAAGGGTTGCATTCGTTCTAACGGTTTTAGCAAACTGAGGCGATGGGTAAGCGTCGTCCTTCTTTGTTCAAAGTTCTTGACGAGGGAAATTTCTCCAGTTGAGCTTTGAGTAATATTCTTCCCGGACGATGTACCTCGACGTCAGCCTGTTGGAGTCTGGACAACCTGTAAAGGAGGTCACGCAAAGGTGATCGAATAGGTTAGACGCCCGTTTCTCTGCATACTATTAGAGAACGCGAACTTCTTACCTAGCAATGCAATGGTTCGCTCAAACTCGGATCTTAATATGTCGAGCATCCTAGCGACGCCTTCTGTACCCTGCAGGGAGGAAAAAAAAGACGCCACTAGTCGTCAAAGGGAGAGGGGAACGAGTTGCTCATTTTGTTTCAATCATCACTCACTGATACGAGAAAGTATAAAAGTGCAGTAGTACTTTTCGAAATCGGTCAACAGTGGTATTCGGTGGCATTTTAGTACGTTACCATAAGCTAACGTAGTATGTAGTCCTCTTAAGCATGGCGACAGTGAGCTTGTAGGAATGTAAATAGCGAAGTTCACATGATACTGCATGGTGCTCTACACGCGTTGGGTATTTTATTTATTCTAATTAATTTTTAGAGGATTGTGAAGGTGATTATGACGTGGGATTGGTTGATTCGACTGCGTGACGTTATTTCGGCCGGCAGGTGTGGAAGTCGCTTACTATATCTATAGATTGCGCAATGCAGTCACTGTCCCAACGTCTTCGCTATTGTAAAAACTGGCAGCGGGTGCATGTCGGTGCATTTTCGCTGATGGTACTTGTATGTTGGGAAGCACGAGAAAGAAGTGAAGGCCGCACTTTGTGAAGTGCGATTTTTAAAAGTGAGTGAATCACCACGGGGTTTTGTCGTGCCGGCATTCAATGTCGACGTCACGGTTCATCATTAACGGAAGGTTCCACGAAAAAGCGGTAAATTGCACTACTCTCCACCGGTTCATATTATCAACATTGCGTGTTAAAAGTTCGTCGTTGCTGCTTAAAACATTATGTTTACGTTATCAGCGCTGTAAGAATCTGATAATATTTACGAAGGCGCTCAAGTTTCTTATCTGAAGCAGAGGCACAAGCGTGCATCTCACGGTAAAGTGCAGTCGAAACACCACTTCCTGAATATATCTGCAAAGTGATTGTGCGTTGGTGGACCGGTGGCTATACTCGCGGACAACTTTTCTTGGCAACGAAGCGAGGACTACGCAGCCAAAGTCGGCGTGGGCCACCGCTTACGAATATAGTGCCACAATTGCATCCGTATTTTCCGCGTGAAAAATAAAAAAAAACAACGTTGATTTATTTTCTACGGAGTGCTGTTTCAAAAAAAAAATTGCGGCATATCCACGGACTGAATGATGATGAGTGGAGCGAAGCGTCCGTCCAATTGTGGGTTGATCTGTTTGTCCGTGCGTCTGTACGTCCGTCTGTCTAGTGAGCACTCCAAATACCGCCAGCTCGCATCTTTTCTTCATGTATTCATCATATACAAGTACCGCCGTCTAGCGGACACTCCGAGAACTAAATGAGAGGTGGCTACCTACTGCATAAATAGAGGGCGCACAACCAACGGCTTAAGGAGTTTCGCCCCCCGGTGCCAAACGGGTATGTGCCACCGATGGTTACAAACGATAACGGGACGAACGGGTGACGACATAAAGAGCTTCGCCCCTAAAAACGCAGAACGCACCCGGGATATATTTATCTTTGTTTCCATTTAAGCAGTGTCATTTCGCGTTTTTGCAGGAGTGAAAACGTCGCACTTTTACGTGCGCCTCACAGTCTAAACGGCGTCTTCGTCTTTGGCTGAGCGCTCGTCGCTTTCTAGCTATTCCGATAACCTGCCGAAGAAGCTTGTGACGAATTTCACTCACAAACGGCTGTCAAAGCTGACAGCAAATAGTATGCAGTGGTATTATTCGAACACCGACCGTCGTTCGAAACGCAAGCCCAACCGGAGTATACTTCGCGGAGGAGGACATGGGCTTCGCCTCCGCAGCCTTCCCTACATTGCCAAGGAGGAAACAAGCGGAAGGACAGGGAGCTGAGCCAGTTCTTAGACCGGCTGGACGCCCTGGGCTAGGGAAGGACGTAAGAGGAGTAAAAGATGATAGAAGAGAGATGTTACAAAGATAAAGGGAGAAAAGACAAGATATAGGGAAAGATAAAAACAAAAAATTTAAACAGAATGTGACACTAAAATCTGTCTCTAAGGCCAGTTGTCCTCCATGAAGGTTATCCGCGAGTTAAGCGTAATCAGCCAAGAGTAAAGGTTTTGCTTTGAGAAAGACCGGCGCACACTGCACGCTTCGGCCCTGCCCAGGGTTCACGACTGTAAGGCTGAAACACCCGTCCCTACATGTCTCCTTTTTTACGTCCTCCAATTTCCCAGCACTCTCACAGTGTCTCTTCAGTGTGCGACTTTGATGAGGTATGCAGAGAAAGAAAACTGATGCTGCATTAGTGTAAGTCTCGCGTTACTGTGAACCGTAGAGATTGTCGCCACTTTTAACAGTGTAGCGGTTAAAACGGCGTTCATTTCCTTTCGTTATAACTACTTTATCACTTGGCTTACTTCAATTACCGGTACACGCATACAACCAGTCTCGCCTGACTGACCTTTTTTTTTTTTCATGCATTGTCTACGTTCCCTGGATCCTGTTTGGGTCGAACTCGTAGCGTCGCCTATATAGGAAACAGCGAACTGCGCCGTGGCCTTCGCCGGATAATCTCGGAGGCCATAACTGTGCGCGCCCGTGAGAGCGAGAGAGAGAAGTCAAGCCAAAAGCAGGGTGGCAGTGTTCGTTAATTCACTCAGCAACGCGACGAATAACATGGCCCTCGTACCGGCAAGAATGAAACTCAACGCTATCTTGCTGCTCGCTTTTCCACCGTCCGTGTGATTCTTGGCGTTACCGCGTGAATTAGGCACCGCCAACCATATCTTGTCAAAATGGTAGATTGGGCGAGTTGGTGATTCATGATAGTTTGAAAATGAGAGCGTGATACGTGGACAGGATAGGTAAGGCTTGTCCTGTCTATCCTGTCCCTGTCTGGTCCTTGTCGATCCTGTCCGCGTCTAGGTATCGCGCTCCTATTTCAAACAATTACCAACCAAGGCGTGCTAAGGGCCTCCTCTTCAGGTGGGGTGGGGGGTAATTACATCGCAGCGACCACCTGTATATTTAGTCAATGTATGAGACAGTTGTGCGCTTCCCCCTCCCCCACCCCTCTTAAGTGAATAGGGGGGAGGGGGGTGCCCCGTGGTCCTTCTACGAGTGCGCATGCTTATGCTACCATCTGTCTGTCCTTAAAGAGTGAAAATTACTACAGTTGTTGTTGCCTGAAAAAAAAAAGAAAACAAATGGTGACGGCAAAGAAGTGATGCTGACGTTGTACGAGAGTGCCCAGAGGGCGGGCCTTCCCACGAAGACGGCTCGTGCGCCAAGGCTGAGGGCCTTGACGGCGTCGGCACCACTGCGCACTCCGCCGTCCACGTAGACCTCAATGCGACCTCGGACGGCAGCCACGATCTCGGGCAGGGCCTCGATCTGCGAGGGCAATTGAGTCAATGTCGAGAAATGAGTGCACTTAATTCTGTCACGTACGTCACTCTGGAGATGCAATAGAATACATCTGGGAAAAATTTCCTTCCAGGCATGCTATACCACTGAGAACCTTTGGAGCGACAATCATCGCCTTTTAACGTGCGGAAAACGCGGTTGGCGCCGCCATCTTGAAGTTCCAGCACAAATCACCGTGGCGTCATAGATTTCGACGTCGTCGTCTAGGACCCACGTCGTTCCTAATCGCTAATGATGATTGTCCTGTGAGGGGGCCAGAGACGTTACACATAAGTCGGCAAAAATTTGGAGCTCAGTATCTCACTCATGACGCACATTTTGCCCTCAGCGCTCACCTCCATGGACCCACACTCACCAAATTTTTCCTCAGACGGGCTAGCATGGACACAGAATAACAGACATATAACTCCGAGACTCGCTCAGACTATGACTCAGGGCTCGATACGATCCTGAGCGAGTATGTGTGAGTCAACTCGTGAGTCTGGTAGCGCAAGGTTTGCTTTTACAACCATGGTGCCAATGTTTCTTAACACCGACATGTCGCATAATCGGTTCTCCACGTGTTGCCTTTCGATCTCATTAATTCGATTACGGGTTATCAGTAGTTCCGATCTAGTGCGAACGTTTTTAGTCCTTTCAGGGTCAATGCCGTACATTTACGTTTCTCGCGAATGCCTTCAAGATGGTTAATGACGTACATGTACGTCTTCACTCGTACGTTTAAAAATAGCACTTTTTCCGGTCATTTTTTTTACAGCGAAAGCTCTATACAGATAGACAAAACGAAAGACTATCCGCCACGAGAAACGCTAAACGCCTCCATTGGCTGCTTTATCAGCTACGTCATTCTCTGCGTCACACCAAGGCGCGTGTGATTGTGAGCGCCGTCAGTAACAACTCGCGTTCTGCGAACTCTACTGTATACGTTCTTTGAACGTTATTACTACGTTATAATTACGTTCTGCGAACTCTACTAACAACTCCCCTTTAGCATTTCTAGAGTCGATGCCATATTCCCCAACTGCATGGTCTGCGGCCTGTTTCTTGCCTACTTTGGTATAAATGTCGCCCATCGGAATGGTATACTGTGATTTTACTTTATTAGTCGCTGACTATACGTCTTCATAGAAGCGTTTAACCAAATGATCATCATAGCTCGTTCTAGGCATGTAGGGCTGCACCACCTTCATCTTGTAACTTTTGCTAAACTTAATTATGATACTTGCCACCCTCTAACTGATGCTATAGTATTCTTCTATGTTGCCGGTGATATTCTTGTGTATAAAAAACCCAACTCTATTTCTTTTCTGTCAGCTAATTCATGGTAGCGTATATTGGTCAAAAAAATAAGGGGGGGGGGGGGGGCTCACTCAGACTCACCCAGGAAATGTGTATTGTGCTTGTGACCCATTCGAACTCAGTCTCGCCAAAATTTGTCTCAACCACAATCACCCATGAGGTCCATATTCAAAAACAAACTTATCCTTAACTTATTACTTAAGTAACTGATCGGGGCCTAGCGCATTTCACAGAACAGTCTTGCACGTACGGGAGTGAGTTTGTCGACCCATTTGCTTTCATACCGTGTTTAGAGACATTTCGTTGGGGCAATGTCGCCAAAGTACGAACAAAGCCTTCGAAATGCAAGACGTCACATCTCGGCGCGAAATTAAAAAAAATGAGACATTCATTTTCGTTTTCTTCTCTATTGTTCAAGGTGTTCTGGCGAAATTAACCACGTTAGAGATTCAGAGTAGGATGTATTAATCTGAACCGATTCGCGCACGAACAAGGGCCTTTTGCCTTTTGATTCCTGTCACTCTAAACTTGTGAAGAGGGGTACGGCGGTGTCATGCTTTAGGTCTTTTTTAACGAAGTCATGCCACCACAACGTGTCAAAGATGGTTTCTTCTTACAACAAGCAAGTCATCTCCGAAATGCTGGTTTCCAGCAGACGCTGCTTCAGGCTGTAGCAGAATCACTATTGAGCGTCATGTGTCACCGTATTACGGCCGCCGACGGAAATGCTAGAGCAAATGAAGGAAAAAGAAGAGTGAGAGGCGGAAGTTTGAAGTGATGCAGTACGTACACAAGGTGTCGCATACCATTAAAAAGGTGGCGCAATGATACGGAGTGGACGTGGTTTTTTTCAGCGACTTGCGAGCTACCGCGTTTGTGGGCCGTGTCCAACGGGAGCAAAGTAAAGAATGTAAGATTACATGTTAAGCGCAGACGTGCGTATGTACTCTGTACAAAATGGGAGTGGTCTACGAATTCCCGCGACCTGTGGAATGGTTTACGTGGCGCAGACTGCAAGTTGTATCAACAAGCGTTTGACGGAGCATGCTGATACATTAGGAGACGCAAGTGGGAAGCACCGATTGACTTGTTGTGGCGCATGCGTGCAGGGATGCAAGCTCATCGTCAGTGGCACCAAGGTGATAGGGCGAGCCGAAAGCTACAGAGCGAGAAAAATCTTGGAGTAATCTTGGATAGCTAGACAAGGGCCTGATGAGTGCATCAGCGACACACCCGTGTATCTTTGCAGGAAAGAGCGTCATCTACTTTTTAGTAAATAAGAGTGCTGGGCGGTCTCGCCTCTTGTCACGTGGGCATGACTGTCATTGATAACGCACTTATATAGAGGTTCTTTCATAAAGGTGGTGTATGTTTCAATACACCTGGTGCCACGTCTGCGATCGTCCTGTCCTCTTCGTTTCCGGGGTCTCGTCTTTAGCGCTGTTATATATTTTATTCAGTTAAACCTATTCGTCGTTTCCTTTTAGTGACCATTATAGAGCTTTCATACCAGCCCCATTACAACACATTCTCGGCAAATTGTATTTTCGATAGAAAAAAGAGAGAGAGAGAGAAGAAAGCTGTACCTCTCCTATAAAGAGACGTTTCACCCTTGTCTTATGACCGTTTGCAAGAAGAGAGGGCTCATTTTGTCTCAACTGCGCTATTACGTGCAAGCTTTGTAACAAGCTCTTACTCACCGTTGCTGGTGCTCCGTCCAGCTGGCGACCTCCGTGATTGGACACCACTACAGCGGCTGCGCCGTACGTTTGTGCGTACATTGCTGCTTCAGCTGCGCACAAATACAAGATGTTTGACGCAATACGAAACGCTACAGAAACTTGAAGGTATCTTGGAGGGTGAAATGAGTATACTCAGACATGCAACATCATTATATTTGCCGTCTAAATTTTTTGTGATATCTATGTCATGAAGCATATGCGTATTGTGTTCTTTTTTCCTTACATGCATATTACTGATACGCAGTACAAATACGTATCACCTTTTGGCGCGCCTGAGACCTTTGTTATGTGTACTATGGAAGCTTTAACCACTCGGAACCGAGCCCCGCGCAACTGGTTGCGAGTCCTCCAGGCTGAGTAAGCTTCACACAGGGGCGCCGTGTCACCGCCCCGAAGCCCACCTGTACCTATTGGAAACTGGTGGGTGGCCGGCCAGCACTGGGTACTCGAATTTTAACTGGGTATTCGGAGTTTAACCACTCGGATACCGTGTGCTTAGAGAGCGGGAACTCGGTGCAAAGCATTATTTGAGGGGGGAAAATTGCGCCATCTCCCACTAAAGAAAACCATGAGAAAGTAGCATTCGAAGCAGCACATTGGTAGACTTAGGCTCGTATTCACAGACTAACCTCGTCCTTACCTCACGTTTTCCTCAACTTCCTGTACTCTCTACATGCGTAATAGAGACACAAAAATGGTTACAGGGCGAAAGGTAAGGACAAGACTGGTTCAAGTAGACTGGTGCAATTTGTTTATCATGTACAATAAAGGTTTAAAACCAATAAGGAAAACTCGCGGAAAGTATTAGGTTGGTTTGTGAATACGGGCCTTTAGGTTCCGTTAGTCACGGGCACCGTACCCGAAGTTAACGCATCCTTGCAAGTGGTGCACATCAGGAATCCCCTGCAGTTTTTTGTTGGTTTTACTCGTCCCCAACTCTGGTCGGGGCACGCCACGTGACGCGGGTGCACGTGGGTTCATCGCGCCTCAGCGAAATTTCGTTCCCTGACGCCATCACGTGATTTCTGAGAGAGTGTAAGGGGGAGGAACCACACCGTCTTACACAGCCACTTAGGTCCCGGGCGCGCTAGCGCATGCCAGCGCGTTCTGACCAGGGTACAACGCGTTGGATCATCGCGAGCCTGCGAGATCGCGTTCCCCGATGCCATCACATTATCGCCGAGAGAGTGTAAGGGGGGAAAAGGCGCAGCGTCTTACCCAGCCCTTTACAAAGGCAGGAACGCGCTAGCACGTGAGTGCATTCTGGCAGTGCTTGGGCCAGCTGTGGCGCGTGCGCAGTATGGGTGGTTACTCTAACTGGATTGAGCTTCTCCATAAGCTGCTTCGCATATAAAGGCTGCGTTCCAATTCTTAGACAGCACGTAGACAGTCTACGCAGATGGCTTGGAAGACAGCACCGAGCCCATGCTGTCCGAGAATCGGAACACTTCTGGACGGCATTTACGCGACAGTGTGCCACCTCACGTCGAGAAGAAAAAATCTAAAATAAACAAACGTAACAGTTGTATTTTCTGGCTTATTTCGCGTTGAAATCAAAAAAAATAAATAAACGTTACTCGCATTGAGCGTCTGGGAAAGCGTCTGCTTGAGTGCAGATGACCATTCTGGCGAGATTTGATCTATCTGAGCTATTCGCTGAGTCGCCATCTTGTTTAGGCGGCAAAGTATACCCTGCATCGTATTTGTCTACGATGCGGTCTTCTCGGAGCTGTCTACTTTGCCGGCTACATGAGAATCGGAATTGGACTTAAGATGGCCGCCGTCCATTTAGCTGTCTATTTAGCCGTCTGCAGGTGAGTATTGGAACACGGCCAAAGAAGGGTTGACGTACGCGTCACGATGCCCTTTATGACGATGGGGAGGCCGGAGATTCTTTTGAGCCAGGGCACGTCCACCCACGTGACCGAAGGGCTGAACAGCTTGTTCGTGTACTCGGTGAGCCCCGAGCCTGGCATGGACGAGAGGTACGAGAGGGAGCCTTCCAGGTTGGCCAGTCTGAAAAACAGGAGAGGGCACACACGTGAATATTGCTGCGAATGCACTTGCAGGATGTTTTCGTCACTAACAGACTTTGAAGAAAAATGTGGTGATATGTTACTCAAGTCCATTTCCTGAACAAGAGTGCCATGGCAAAAGAACAAAAAAATCTAAATAAATACCGCACTGTCTAACGAAGACTCGCCTATTTTAGGTGTGACGACCTCGGGGTCTCGGATAGGTAGTGTCTAATGTCGTCACGGCAGTGTCACTGTCCGTCGTAAACGGGTATGCTCTGACGGGGTCAGCATGACTATCAGGCCGAGCATGTCCCTGACACACCACGTCAAAGCCCCAAACTGCCGCAAGGTGTCTCCCAGAGGAGCAAACACTGGCTGCTCGCGCGCTCTAGTTAGACGTTGACGCACAAGTACATCGGTCTATAGGGACGCTTTACAAGTCATTGCCCAAGAGAGCATGCATTGTGACTCAAAAATGTCACAGGTCTGCATTTGCTGCATCATAGCAAAGGGTGCTCTTGCGAACCTTTCCTGAACAGCACGTCTATGTTACGAAGAACCAAAGGCAAGGTGGGATAGCTCAGGCGATGCATATTACGGGAGTCGTAGACCAACGTATCAGCATCCGCCGTCTTCTCTTTCTGCTTGAAAATAAGTTTGCCTTCCTAGCTGATAAGTTGTGATAATAGGCCTTGCTGTATTTTTGTTGTTTTCTTTTAAGCGTATACGCATGCGTGAAGGTTTCGGAAACTAAGCATTAGTTTAGAAGAATTCGTTTGCGAGTGTGTGCTCGCCCGTGCCTCTTCCCAGTGGATGTTCTTGGCTTGCGCCGATGAATTGTTTTCCAGCTATGCACGAAGTAGCCTGGCAGCATGCCTTACTGAACTGTGGATGTCCCCCTAAGCTCGATCAATGTGAAGTGTTCAAAAATCAGCCGTCACAAATACCGCGAGAAATTTAAAGTGCATTTTTATAGCAAGGGCTGGAATCACGTGTATTAGCGCCCCTTCCTTGGATTTATCTCAATACCGAAATGTCCTTCCCTGATCAGGCGAACCGGCTCTGACACTTTGGTCTGCGGCGCTGCGATGGTGTTCTGTTACCTTGGCGTTACGCTCGGGTGTTCTTTCTACGCTTGCGCAATACTTTCTAACTGATAATAATCAGTTGGAAGTAAGTGATGTGTCCTTGTGCGTTGGCTGTCTCGCCTTCGCCAACATACGCTGGAGCATTTCAAGTGCGCTTAGTTTATGTTTTGCTTCTTTAAATAGGGAATACACGCGGCAATTTCGTAAAAAAAATTCACGTAGCGCATGACGTCTGCTGGCAAAAAGGTGTTTCTCGCTGACGGCCATAGCTACAAGTGGCACTGGCAACACACGCACGATTAGACGGACAAGGAGAAGGCACTAGAGGAGCGGCATCTTTACTTGAGTCCCACTGGCAGGCTGAAATTGTTCTTGACGTCGGCCACCCTGAGTCCGAAAACGGGTGCGTCGACGGTGAGCACCAGCGCCGAGTATCCCGCCCGGACGGCTCGCCTGACCAGCGACTCGGTGAGTGAGCGGTTCTGGTAGACGTACAGCTGGTACCACAGCAGACAGTTGGGCGCGCTCCGGCGCACCTCTTCCATCGATGTGGTGCTCAGGGTACTCAGGATCATCACGGTGCCTGCTGCCTCGGCCGCTGTAGAAATATCGGAAAGAAATGGAAGTATTTAAGTTATTGTTTTTTCTTTGTTAGACCCAATAATGTTTAGAGAGATAGAGAGATGATTTATCAGGATGCAGCATGGTCGGCCTTAGCTAGTTCACTGTGACCTGCTACTCGCCCCGCCGCGGCGGTCTAGTGGCTAACGTACTCGGCTGCTGACCCGCAGGTCGCGGTTCGAACCCCGGCTACGGCGGCTGCATTTCCGATGGAGGCGGAAATGTTGTAGGCCCGTGTGCTCAGATGTGGGTGCACGTTAAAGAACCATAGGTGGTCCAAATTTCTGGAGGCCTCCACTACGGCGTCTCTCATAATCATATGCTGGTTTTGGGACGTTAAACCCCACATATCAATAAATGATGTGACCTGCTACTCGGCACCGGGGAAGAGGGACAGAGGGGAAAAAAACGATGAAGTGTGAGGATGAAAACAGAAACAAGTTATGCGTATATACAATAGGGAGTTTTAGAATAGCGCGTTGCAAACCCGTGCGATGTGGTCGCTGCCTCTGTGCATGCGTTGTAATGGTGCGTGTGGTCCGCCCTCAGAAAATCTGAAATAGCGTGCGGCGCGCAAAGCCTCCAAAGCGCTGGTGTCGAGGCGGTGGTGTAGCTTCCGTGCATTTGGATTTGCTGGTAGGGGGGGGGGGGGGGGGCTAAGGGGTGTCAAACGCTATTTTAAAGCTCACATGGCGCCCGCAACGCCTGCTTATTCTATTCTAAAGCTTCCTACTAACGGCGTAGCACTGTGGCTTCGCTAGAGTCTATTGTCCTGCCCTGTACTTTGTCTGAAACCTATCACGGCCCGTATAGCAGTTTTTGATCTTGTCTGATCACACATTGCGGATGAAATGCCACTTGCACTAAGCGTTGCCACACCTATTCTCTCCAGCGTTGAAGCGAGCGTTTTTCATTGTGACACGTAAAGTAGGCAATCGTAAAAATAAGTGACAGCTTTGCCGCAAATTTAGCAAAGAACGCGATAGCAACGAGTTGGAAGGTCACGTGCAGAACAGCAAGCAGATCGCGACATGCCCTGGGTTTCTCACACACAAATGACCCGCGAAACGTACTCACAGGTACATTCTTTATTGTGAGGCAAGGAGAAGAAACCTTCGGCCTGCACCTAATTGTTAGTCTTAGCGGAGCAGAAACGCCTTTTTTTAACGCGATAGAGTTGAAGAGCTCGATTTGCAAAAAAATTTGGCGTCGTTGGTTGTGAGCGCAAAGTCATCATTTTGTCGGTGACTGACTCGCAACTGATTCAATAAATCGGTTGTGAATCTGCGCTCGTCCATCTACATTCGTTCTTTATTTGTAACTCGCTTGCTGTGCCGTTTGCTAGAAGATAAATCCGTACCAATTTTCCCAGCTTTCAAGGCTTAATGTAGTATACTGTGTTGCAAGATTTATTTTGCCTGTTGGCGTCACGTGCTACGTCACGCCAATGCGCAAAAAAGACTGTTCCACGCTCGCCAAAATGCAAAAGGTGGCGCTGACTGACGCTGAAACGTGTAAAGGATGCACATATATACACTATAAAGTGGACGGGGACATAACCACCACCGTAGCTCGGTGGTCGAGCATCGAACGCGTAATTCGAAGGTCGTCTGCAGGTTCGAATCCTGCGGGTGACAAGGTATGTTTTCGTCCAATTGTCTTCTAATTTACATTATTTCGATTGGGATGAAAATGCTGTAGGCCTGTGTGCTCAGATTTGGGTGCATGTTTAAGAACCCAAGGTGGTTGAAATTTCCGGAGCCCCCTACTACGGCGCCTCTCATAACCATATGATGGTTTTGGAACAATAAATCCCCACAATTGTTATTAGTTTACATTACAATTACTCCTAATAATATCCCCTGTATTTGTTTGACCATCATTGTCTGTTAGTTCTCATTAATATAGCGTCTAACAATAAAAACAAACAAAAAAACGAGCTCTTAAATTTACACTAACTTCCTCCAAAATTGATGCTGGCCATATTTCTGTTATTGCTTGTTTATTTTTCCAGTTTATGCGGATATTTCAAATATGTTTTATATGTGTAACCACACTCCTGCTGCATTGTATACCTGTAGAGTGTTTACCCCCCACTCCTCTCTGTAATGCCCTTGATCCCTGAGAGTAAATAAATAAATAAATAAATAAATAAATAAATAAATAAATAAATACTGCCCAAGAGACAATTACTTGTAGGATATTAAGGTGAGGAAAATGGCAGGTATTATCAAACCTGCTCTCTGATTCACCGGTGGTGATACCTTTAGCGGTTCCCACTTCTCCGACGGGGTGGGCCATCTTCTGCAACGCCGTCGGTGCTATGCCAATGGGCATCGATATCTCCCGGCCAAGCACAGTTGTCGCCGTGTTCGTTTTGGACACGTCCACCAGCACGTCGGGTCTGAAGCGGTACCTGTATTGAAGCGAGAAGACAACCACCATAAGTGAAACAGCGCCTCCCGGACGCACTGTATTTGTGGTGATTACAGGTCTATTTTGTGTATCCCGATCGCATAAAGAAAAAAAATCACCGCCCAAGTGCTCCGCGCAAATGGTTAACCAGCGAAAGCTGAATGCGTTCGGCCTTGGTGCTCAGCGGTGGGTCCAACCCGCCGTTGCTCTGAAACCTTTATTTATTTTATTTATTACACCCTCAGGGTTTTCATACTACAGAGGGGAGGGGCATGTTACATGTAAAAATGGGAAACAACACTGGATAAATATATACAAGAACGATATTGCAATAATTGGGCAGAATAATACAGAATTGCGTATTTACCTTTCATAATTATTGGCTACATGTTCGTGCTTCTTCGTAAGGTTAGGCACACTTTTGGCTTCGGTTTACCACAGTGTTTCATTCACATGCCGCACATTGTGCCTCACATGATGTAATGTAAGAAGTGGTTTGTATGTTGGGTTTAACGTCCCAAAACCACCATATGATTATGAGAGACGTCGTAGTGGAGGGCTCCGGAAATTTCTACCACCTGGGGTTCTTTAACGTGCACCAAAATCGGAACACACGTGCCTACAACATTTCCACCTCCGTCGGAAATGCAGCCGTCGCAGCCGGGATTCAGTCCCGCGACCTGCGGGTCGGCAGTCGAGTACCTTAGCTACTAGACTACCGCGGCAGGGTAATGCAAGAAGTGTAATGAGCGTTCAATTGCGTTTCGCAGTGCTACCTCACACCGCAGCCGACGGCGCGCCTGCTTGAGTACGACGCTGCGAATGATGTAACCGGTAACGGAGCCAATGGAGACCGCTTCTGAAACTGCTGCCGATCAGTTTTTAGTTTCTCCTGGCCCCATAGAGCTTTCACTGTAAAAAATCTTGGACGCGATACCCAAGCATCCCATCGGAAGTTATCTGAGCCTTGTATTTCAGGCTATCTCAGGGTTGAAGACTACACTGGTCAAATACTACAGTTATACAAGCTTAACGGTTTCGAGGCATGCCTTTTCCGATGACGCTGCGCTAAAGGCATGCCAATATGGAAAGTATCACGTAATGAAAAATATTTCGTGAAGTTAAAGAAGGAAGTAGCGAAGAACTGTGGAATATCTAGCTTTGCAAAAGTGGTGGCTTATGTGAGCGTTTGGGTTGTATTCTGGTTGCCCTGTGGGGGTCGCAAGTTCTAGTGCCGAGTACCCCTTACCGTTCGGTCCTGATGCACACGCGTTATTTCGTGCTCTTCCAGCTTTCTTCTGTTCGTCAGCTGAACGCAAGAAGAGTGAATAAGAATGCAAGGTATTTGATACGCCGCAGTCGCTGTGGGGTCCCAACGCTAAAATTCTGTATTTTATGTCTCAGATTGTTCAGCTGTTACCCACACAAGCGCTTGGGTAAGAAATTGCTCAATTAGTTTACAGAATGGCACTGACCCGATCATGGGGCACGTAATAGCTATCATTGACTGTTGTGCGAACCTGAAGGTTAAAGCATCTTTCTAAGATGTCGCATAAATACCTTATTCTATCGGAGTTGGTTGCCTCACGGACATCTTTCCACGAAAATTTTTTTCTAGCTGGTCAAGTACAAGTGGTGTTAAGAAACACTTCATAACCATGCTTGTCCCGTGTTCGTTTAGTGCACGCTGTTTCTGAAGTATGACGTTATCGCACGACACGAACGCCCTCTACCTCCTTTCACCGACACGACGTGGGCGCACTAGAACTTCCACATATGTATGTTACAAATCGGAAGTCCCCCGGTATCCGTCGTGGTTCATCAGTGATTAAGGTGCTCAGCTGCTGACTCGGAGGTCGCGGGTTCGATTCCGGACGTGGCGGTGGCGTTTCGGTAGAGGTGAGACGGCGGAGGTCCGTGCTGTACCGTTCCATGTCAGTGCACGTTAAAGCCCTCCGCTACGGCGTGCCTCATTATCATATCGTGATTTTGGGACGTTAAGTCGCAAATATTTATTATCATTATCTTTATCGGAGTGAGAGAGAGAGAGATAAATAGAGAGGAAAGGCAGGGAGGTTAACCAAGCTTGGCTCGGTTGGCTACCCTACACTTGGGGGGGGGGGAAAGAGAGAATTATAGAAAGGAAAGGGATAGAAAAGAAGAGGAGTAAGAAATAGAAGGATGAATAGTCAGCTCGAGACTGCACAGCACGGTGTCACACTGTTCTTTCACAAGCGGTCTCGAAGTCTGGTGGTCCTTAAGAAGTGCAAGAGGGCTTTTGTGGCTTTGCGTGTATGGGAGGAAGTCCCATGGTTAAGTACCTGGAGAAAGCCTGCACGTTCTCCCTCAACGTCTGTTCCCTGTCGGCCCCGCTGTCGTAGTAGCCACGAACGGTGCGCTCCAGTTTGGCGCCTCCCAGCCTCTCGATGTCGGCCACGGTCACAACGTCCGAGTCGTACGACAGCTCGATCGGCGGCACCTTGGCGCGGCTGCTCCCGTCCGGACGGTCACTCACAGCGTTGAAGCGGCTACCCTGAGGTCCGGCGCCGAGCAATGCTGGGGATGTGCCGTCCGCAGCAGACCCTGCGTAACAAGTATAGGCTTCCAACACGTGTATAAAACGTAGGAAGACTTTAGTAGGATTTACTGTATTATGCTACTTTTAAGTGCTTCTTCGGGGAACCCCGGAGTTTTTATCGCTGTTTATTTCTACGAGAGCATTTCCTTCAGCTTTTTTTTGTGTCATTTCTTTTTAAATTTCAAAGCTCATTGTGTGCCATGCCAATGAAATCAAGTACTTCGTATCGATCAGTGTGAATGGCGGGACATCCAGAAAGCGTGCGTTCACAGGTACGCCGAGAAGGTATCCATCTGCCATTTAAGGCTTGCTCAGTCTAACTGGTACTTCCGAGGGTACATGTTAATGACCATACCCCTAATCAGCTCAAGGGGAGAGGTCTACCTGATTACTGAACTTTTCCATCTGTTAGTTGATGCTATGCATTCAACCTCATTTCTTTACCTGCAAAACGTGGAAATTCATCCGTATTAGCATAGTTAGGCTTAAAATACGTGCTACATATACATATTATAGTAAACAATGTAAAATGCTCGTATCACTGCTGTGTGGAACACTGTACCAAGAGAGAGAGAGAGAGAGAGAGAGAGAGAGAGAGAGAGAGAGAGAGAGAGAGAGAGAGAGAGAGAGAGATGAAAAGAAAAACTCGGCTAGGGAAGATAACCTGTTGCAAGTAACCGGTTTGGTACCCCAGCACAGGGGAGGGGGGATAGTGGCTGCAAACAAACCAGATTTGGCTTATCACCTAGCGTTTTTTTTTTCATTGCAAACTTTTACGTTCTATTATTCTAAACAATATTTATAGCGCATCGTTTCTTGTGCTGTTTGGCTTGATAAGAAATTTTCTAGTGTCGTCTTTATTAGCTTCTGAAGTCGCATTATGTTCTTGAATCAGTGAGCAATTTACTGAGTGAACTGTCGTGAGAGAAATTAAGGGATTACTGACTGGGTTTTAATTTTATATAACTTTTGTCGTTACTGCCCTTTTGCTGCAAATATCACGCCATTCAATTGCGTCGTTTGAATTTATTTGAAAAGATAACGAAGTCAGAAGACGTGAAACACTCCATAGAATTTCCTAATATACACTAGAGGGAACTCTGGCGCTAGTGTCTATGGGAGCTGCAACGCACGGCGCTTCAGTGAGCATGGGAATGATGGGTAGTACACACGTTTGTCTAAACTTCGTACTTCTGATCTGCTTTTGGCTCCGAGTGTGTTCGTGTGGCTTGAAGCTGTTTTCTCACGAAACAAAAATCAGCAAATGTTCAGCGATTGCGCTTCACCACCCTATTTTTTTTTCAACTTACCTTTCCAAATTGGGTCACGAGGTTCAAAAGGGTTGAATCTTTTTTTCAAAACAAAACCGAAACACAGCAATAGACGAAGCCGCAAGTAGGATTAGCCACCAGCAAGTACGAAGACTAGGCAAATGTGTGTACTATACCATCATTCCAATGGTCGCTGAACGATCGCAGCGCCAGAGTCCCCTCTAGTTAATTTTAGGAAACTCTATGAAACACCCCATGTCTGCATGCCCATGTCAGCCAGCTAATCTCCCCTGCAGTCACCTAAATGGAGGGGAGGGGGCAAATTAACCCAGTACATTGATATAATAGTAAGGGAACACTGCGACGAACCTTCCCCTGCGCACGCACATGCTCGCCACCTATCTTTGCTATTAGGAGCACTCAAACAAAAATATCGCACCTTGTCATATTGTTGTTGTCATTGCAATAGATAGCTTCATCATCATGATCATCATCAGCCTGACTACGTCCACTGCAGGACAAAGGCCTCTCCCATGTTCCGCCAGTTAACTCGGTCCTGTGCTTGCTGCTGCCAATTTATACCCGCAAACTTTTTAATCTCATCTGCCCACCTAACCTTCTGTCTCCCCCTAACTCTCTTCCCTTCTCTGGGGATCCAGTCAATTACCCTTAATGACCAGCGGTTATCCTGTCTACGCGCTACATGATCGGCTCATGTCCATTTCTTCTTCTTGATTTCAGCTATGATATCCTTGACCCCCGTTTGTTCCCTAATCCACTCTGCTCTCTTCTTGTCTCTTAAGCTAACACCTACCATTTTTCTTTCCATTGCTCGCTGCGTCGTCCTCAATTTCAGCTGAACCCTCTTTGTAAGTCCCCAGGTTTCTGCTCCGTAGCTAAGTACCGGCAAGATACAGCTGTTATATACCTTCCTCTTGAGGGATAGTGGTAATCTACCTGTCATAATTTGAGAGTGCTTGCCAAATGTGCTCCACCCCATTCTTATTCTTCTAGTTATTTCAATTTCGTGGTTCGGCTTCGCGGTTTTTACCTGCCATAAGTAGGCATAGTCTTTTACAACTTCAAGTGCAGTATTACCTATCTCGAAGCGCTGCTCTTTTCCGAGATTGCTCTACGTTACTTTCGTTTTCTGCAGATTCATTTTAAGACCCACCTTTCTGCTCTCCTTGTCTAACTCCGTAATCATCAGTTGCAATTTGTCCCCTGAGTTACTCAACAATGCAATGTCATCGGCGAAGCGCAGGTTACTGAGGTACTCTCCATTAACTCTTGTCCCTAACTGTTCCCATTCTAGGCTTCTGAAAACCTCCTGTAAGCACGCGGTAAATAGCATTGGGGAGATTGTGTCCCCATGCCTTACACCCTTCTTGATTGGTATTCTGTTGCATTCTTTATGAAGCACTAGGTAGCAGTTGATCTCCTGTAGATTTCTTCCAGGATGTTTATATATACTTCATCGACGCCCTGATTCCACAGTATCTGCATGACAGCTGATATTTCTACTGAATCAAACGCCTTCTCGTAATCTATGAAGGCTATGTATAGTGGTTGGTTATATTCTAAGCATTTCTCTATTACCTGATTGATAGTATGAAAGTGGTTGATTGTTGAGTAGGGTAATCGAAATCCTGCTTGTTCCTTTGGTTGATTGAATTCTAGTGTTTTCTTTACTCCGTTAGCAATTACCTTTGTAAATAGCTTGTATACTACAGAGAGCAAGCTAATCGGCCTGTAATTATTCAAGTCCTTGTCATCTCCTTTCTTATGTATTAAGATGATGTTAGCGTTCTTCCAAGACTCTGGTACTCTTCCCGTCAGGAGACACCTCGTAAACAGGGTGGCTAGTTTTTCATATATAGCTTATGAGCCACTTATCTTATGACCCACTTATCACGGCTGGAAACCACGTTAGCGCGAGTGCATGGTGGTTATTTATTTAGACGCGTTTTTAGAGCGCCCAGCCTCAGTTTCGGTTTCAAAGAGCTCTGAACTAGGCAGGAGCCCTTCCGGGTGCAAGGTCAACGCAGCTGGTCACGTGACCTACGCGAAACTGAGACGTGGGTGCCGCACCGACAGCACACGCGAAACCGCAAGCACGAAGGAGGAAAATCGCAGGTAGCGCAAGGCGCGTGCCAGCAACCCGCCAACACAAACTCGTGACGTAGGTTAGTTTACGTTGCCCCCTGCGTTGATGTCTGCGTCGCGAGGGGCTCCGCATCTGGTTGAGGCACGCGGCGTGCACGATGAAATTCATTTTTAAGAGAGGTTCTAGGCAATAGAACAGTTCTAGTTGCCGTTGATATATCTCGTGGATGTTGTGTGTGTCTCCACATAAACCTATCTCGTTCATTATCTCTGCTTCGAAATTTTTTGTCGGTGCTCCTTTAGGCTTCACTGCCTATGCTTAAGCTCTGACTGTTGGGACATTTTATTTCGAAGTGGCAAGTTGCAGTTCCTAGATTTACTGAATGCTCTGGTTCAGACACTTTATAACAGGCGCTCGACAGAGTTCCACGTAGTAGAATACGAGGAACTGACACACCTGTATTCTTCATTTTCAAATAGCACAGCTCTGTTCGCACAATTCTAATCATAGTGTTTTTAGGCGGACGATAATATGGTCGATTGCCATGGATTTTTTTCTTGGAACTGCCGGAACCGCTAAGAAAGCATGTGAACATGTCATACGAACACTACCTGCGTTGACATGCTACCAGTAGTGAGTTATATCGAATTTATCCTCGCCCTATTCGTTGAGTCTGCCGACAAGGGTCGTCCTGCCAAGCTGCACTACCACCGGCACTGGCCATGGCGTCGACAGCATTCAAGGCAACGCGTACAGACAGTGGTACAGCAAAGAGAAGGCCCGGTACTGACCTGGAAATCGGTTCAAGGTCAGTCCTGGACTGAAGTCCTGGCTGATCCCTGGATCCTGGCGCCCTAGGCCATCTTGTTGCAGTGGATGACCGTGGTCGAAATTCACCGCGAAAGGAGCTCCGACCTCCGCTGGCGAACCGAAACCCTGGTCGAAGGCTTGTGGGAAAGGGTAGTGAGGCTGACCTGAGGGGATGTTCTGTCCGAGGCGAGGTTGCACGTCTACGTGTCGCTTGGAACTGGCCACGTCCAAGGTTTTGGAAGCGGCTGGGTTTTGCGGGGCTGCTGCGGCTTCAGAAACGGCAGCATTTCTTGCGTGAGCCGTCCTGTTCGATTCACCGGGACCCTCTGCTTTCGTGACACGCTTTGGTCCTTCCTTACCACTCGCTGAGGCCCCTGCAATATCGCATCCTCTCATGAGAAGTAAGATATGCTTGCGCACAAACTACACAAAGGCACAGAAGACGCTGACGGGCGCAACCTTATCGCGTTAGAAAAAGTGCGTGCAGACAGACAGCATTTCGAGTTCAATTATAAGAACGATGAAGAAAACATCGAGTTCCTTTCCACCGGTGAACCATATTTAAAAAGTATTTGTATTTTTGCCGAAGTAGATTGCTTATAAAGAGAGCTCAAAACGCAGTTTTTCGAACGATCGTACCAGACTATAACAGATAGAATGAATCAAGGTCAAGACCGAAGCATGGTCAAAGACAGAATTTCAATTTACTGTTATGTATTTCAGCCGTTATGGTGCAATATATGTTGTTATGGCTTGCTAAATTTCCTGTTCTAATTAGAATAGAATGAAGTCCACCATTATCTATAAAAATCAAGGAAGGTCTATTATGAAGAGAATAAATAAGGTTAGGGTGAACTAAAATGAGTTTACTAATGCCGGCAGCTCCGTAACGATTTAGTTGTCATCCTTTGAAATGGGTTCTCGTAAAAATAAAAGTTACTTTTTTTATTGATTCAAAGCATTGATAAACTAATGCACTAACACAACTCTTTCTTATTTAATGACTTTTAAATCTCGCATCTCGCTTGTCGGTATTCGTCAGCGAAGCCACTGGGCTTTTTAAAATTGATGAAGACACATTCAACACAGAGCTATAAGAGCGTCTCTCTCTCTCTCTCTCTCTCTCTCTCTCTCTATATATATATATATATATATATATATATATATATATATATATATATATATACTATTGTTTTTCCGTGTTTTGACACAATATTAATGAGATCTAACAAACAATAATGCCAAGGAATGTATAGGGGAAGTTATTAGACCAATTGTAATGTAAATGTGCAGGAAGAAAAGTGGGTGAAAAGATAACTTGCCGTGAGCAGGATCCGAACGTGCGACCTTCGAATAACGCGTTCGATGCTCTACCACTGAGCTACCACGGCGGCTATCCCCCCAGCCACTTTATTGGGTTTATATGTGAATTTAAACGTGGGAGTGTCAGTCAGTGCCACCTGTAGCCATGGAGGCGAGTGGAGGCTAGTGTGGTACACTGAGTCTGTGTGGCGTCACGTTGCACGTGAACCGAGATATGTATGTATGTATGTATGTATGTATGTATGTATGTATGTATGTATGTATGTATGTATATATATATATATATATATATATATATATACTTTAGGAATGAAGATCGATGGTCCGGTGTAATAGATGATTGAAGAGAAGGACGCACGTACGAAATGTGGATTTATTAACGTTTCGGCTGGTGGACCAGCCTTCGTCAGAATGACGAAGGCTGGTGGACCAGCCTTCGTCATTCTGACGAAGGCTGGTCCACCAGCCGAAACGTTAATAAATCCACATTTCGTACGTGCGTCCTTCTCTTCAATCATATATATATATATATATATATATATATATATATATATAGAGAGAGAGAGAGAGAGAGAGAGAGAGAGAATCGGTGGGAGGCGTACACATGCTGCACCACTGTCGTTGTCGTGGATATCATAAGCTTCTGCAATGGGACGCACGTTCATCATGGTACTTTGACAGGACTGTAGTATATTGAAAGATTAGCGGCTGCCACAATCCCGGCAAAGAGATGATTCACTATCTCTGGCTTGTTCTTGAACCTTGTTCGAAGGCTCATGGACGCCACAATCTCCAACCTATTCGTGAACTTTGTTCAAGTACTAGCACATGTCTTCATTAGCTCGCGGCCCCGTTTGACCAGCACAACGCCTCAAAGAAAGACGAATCTGATGTGGAACACAATCACAGCAAGTCAACTAGGAAATCGGTATTAAAAGAAGATGCAATAAGAAAAGCAGCTAGAAGTTTGTTGAATGTCGACGCTTACAACATGGTGTTCCGAAAAAAAAAAAAGTAAACGTAACATGCGCAGTACCGTCATCTGTTAAAGGGAACACTACAAAGGGAACACTGCGACTGCTGTTGATATAACCGGCACCCTGACAGCACGCGGGTAAAGATACAACGTTCACGCAGTGCACTAGTCTGTCAAAGGAAGTCATAACTGTCAATCAGCGATAATCTTACGCAACTCTAAGCCAGTACGGCTATCAAAGAGAGTGAAATTCAAACATACCGTGTTCGCAAGTGTTCTCTTTAATAGTGGAGCCGCCTATAATGCTGTATAAAATAACTGAGGGTGCAAACGCGCTGACTAGAGAGATGCAAAGACAGCACAAACAGCTGGCCTTTCTCTTCATGCCCATAATTTTAGCATCAATACCAGCCAATTCGTTTACTTCTCGTTATTATAAGGACAGTATAGGCCGATGCACTCTGAATTCGTCGGATAAATCTTAATAGTGAAAAAATTTTTGCCGGTGAGTTTTTATCAGATTTCTTTCGAATTTATGTGAAAACGCGTCGATCTTGTTATTGTGCAGTCTTCGAAGCGGTTGATAACTGCACCCTCTGCTAAGCATGCCTACACGCTCCAATCACATGTGTGTGCTTCGCTTCTCTGTTAAACGAATTATGAAAGTCAGTACTGTGTGTTGTCATCGCCTGCCTTTGTCTTCTGCACCGTCGTTATAGACTAATAACGTGATACCAAAGTGCCAAATTGTCCACTCTTCAAAGCTTGCAGACATGCATCGTCAGCTGTCGCGCCTTTCCTTGACTAATTATGTGCTACCAATGTTGCAAAATTTTCTACTCTTCAAAGCTGTTAGACATGCACCATCAGCTGTCGCACTGCTCCTGCAGGGCTAATGTGCCGCCAGCGTGCCCAATTTCCCACTCTTCAGAAAAGCTCGTAGACGCGCATCATCGGTTATTTTGGAACTCACTGACTGCGCGAAACGCCCCCGAGAAAACGCGCTGCCGAGGAAGACTGGCCACTCACCCAAACCCGTGCAACAGGCCAGCACAAGCAGCAGTACGCGGCGCTTCATTGCAAACCGCCGAGACTGGAATCCCTGGACGAGAAGTGGCTGCCGCTAGCCGGTGGTATTGCTCTCGCCTGGGCGGCGGTCGCCGATCGCTGCGACCAAGAGAAAAAAAAAAAAAAACAGAAAGGAGTCGCGCCACCGGAATTTCAATGAAGCTTCGCGTTCCTGACGTCACGAGAAAGCCGACGCCTGGACTGACCTCAGCGTCCGCGTTAAGAATGACCCGTGGTACTTGAGAGGGAAGAGTAAAGACGAAAAGAAAAAAAAAATCACCTTTATTTCCGTCAACTCGTCCCTGTTATCTGTGACGATGGGTGGACCTTGACCTGACGTTTTCTCGCTTCTTGATCGAAACGTCGACGGCAAGGGGACGTGTCGGTGTTAACGAGCCTCGAGCTATGTTCGAGGAAAATGAGACGACGTCGTTAAAAGCCTCTGCGCTTAAGTTGTGAACTTTGTCCATTTCGACCGTAGTACTCACTCAAGCGTGGGTGACGTGAGTGATTGCATTCAGCAGGAAACGCGAAGAAAATCGATGTTTAGCATTGAATAGAACGACACTAATGGCTGCGGGCTGGTTTGGCTTTCGACGATGCGCCGTCAATTACTCCGACCTTGCTTTAGAAAATTTAACTGAAATTTGTAATTGTTTAACACTGAATTTCGGATCTCTCTCTCTTTCTTTCTTTCTTTCTTTCTTTCTTTCTTTCTTTCTTTCTTTCTTTCTTTCTTTCTTTCTTTCTTTCTTTCTTCGTTCTTTCTTTCTTTCTTTCTTTCTTTCTTTCTTTCTTTCTTTCTTTCTTTCTTTCTTTCTTTCTTTCCAGCTTTTTAAAAAAGCGTGCAGGGTGAAAAAAAGACATTTTTACATACACAAACATGAAAGATACACATATAGAAAAAAGGTACAAAATGTAAGAGTCGAAACTTTGAAAAACAGGAAGACGAAATGGTAAAGTAGTCTGTAAAGAATATAATCTTCATTATCAAAAATGAACAAGAAAATAACATACGTGTGGATTGTAAGACATGGTTGCGTTAGTGCATTTCAACTGTTGATGGTCCTGGGTCAAACAGAATATTTCAAAAAGTATTTTGTTACTGCAAGATGAGTTATTATGCAGTATTTTCATTTTTGTTTAATTAAACGTATATAAGGAGACGTCGGTATTTTCTTGTGGCGCCAATACAATGTAATTCGACCAAGTTTGTTGTCTCACCGCTTCTGAATATTTGCAACATATCAGGTGAATTTTCACTCTAGAGTCTATTTGATTGCAAATAGAGAATGAAGTGATTCTGCAGACCCCTTTAATATCAAAACACAATGCCATACAACATGTCAAGTTTATTTCTAACAACATAATGCTGGAGGTCCCTAGGCGAAAAGTTGTCGAAGACATCTTGAGCGAGGCAAAGGACCCGTGCAAGAGCAGCAGGAATTTTGCGAAAATATCACATAACTCACTCTACATGCGTGTGCCAAAACATATGCTTATTTGTTCACGACCCTTCTATTGAACAAAATGAGCGCACAAATATACATGTCACACAAGTGTTGTATGAACTTGCGCAAAGACAAGAAATTTTTATTCAAAAGGAAGAAAGCTGTGCATCAATATAACAAGAAACTATATAGAAGTGTTTGAGTAGTTGCAATAATTCTTAACAGCATACTTTGCAGGTGTTTCATGAATTCAGGCAGTTCGAAATCGATAGAAGTGGTCGTATCTGGTCGTCGCGCCATGGTGATTGGCGGGTCTGGGTCGGTCAGCTCGGGCGAATCATCTGGAATGTTATTCCATGGTCCGAAGGTGGCAGCATGCTTTGAGTAAAATACACGTTCGAGGGCCACTGCAGGGGGTATCAACGCGTACTGGCTGTCTTCCAGTCTACTGCTAATGACCAAGAGCCCAAAGAGACTGCGTTAGTATGACATGCTATCTCCCACTCGAGAGAACCACAAGTAGCACGCGAAGCAGTGCATGAGTAGGCTTAAAGTTCCGTTGATCACGGGCACCTTGCCCGATGTATATAAAGAAGGCATTCTCCGTGACGTGTCACGCTTTGTGTGCTTTGTCTTCCAGGAAACCTCCGCGGCTCGCAGTCAAAGTCGCATGCATGATCGCCGCCTCCTCGGCCAGGCACGCCGACTATCGTGGACACGGAATTTGTTGGCAATACAAGACTTACATAGTCAAGAGTCTGACGGAATCCCGTCTGGTTGGAGACAAACATAGTGCAAAGTAACGAAAATGCCGACCAAGGTGAAATACACAAAAATTATAAAGACGTTTCGGCTCCCCACATGGGAGCCTTATTCACAGTCTGTTAACATAGTCAGTGTTCGCAGTCTGTGTTCGCAGTCTGTGTTCGCAGTCTGTGTTCAGTCTGTGTTCACTGTCTGTGTTCACTGTCTGTGTTCAAAGTCTGTGTTCAAAGTCTGTGTTCAAAGTCTGTGTTCACAGTCTGTGTTCATTCTGTGTTCACGGTCTGTGTTCAGTCTGTGTTCAGTCTGTGTTCACAGTCTGTGAATGTGAACAAGGCTCCCGCGTGAGAGCCAAAACGTCTTTATAATTTTTGTGTTTCACCTTGGCTGGCGTTTTTGTTCTTTTGCACTACAAGACTTACATATCATTTCCTCGCGCATGTTGCCAGTGCTGGCTCACCTGAAAATGAATCCTGCGGAGATATCGTAGATGTGTTTCACAACAACAGCAGCAACGTACATTAGACAGCGTGCGGTAATTTACGTCGCGCGAGGTCAGTCGGAAGCGCAGCCAATCGCGCCTTTCCTGACAGGCGTGAACTGGACGGGTGGCAATTTGGAATTCGCGCTGAATTAGGCTGCTACACTTACCGCAGTTGCACTGAAAAAGTTTCTACGAGAAAAAAAAAACCGGCATATTGGACTTTTGTTACATTAATTCTTTTTTATATAGGTGACCACCCCGGTCCACTCGTTGGCCATGTCGACTGAGAACTAGGTCGCCGGTTCGATCGCCTGCCGCAGCGGAATGAAGGAGGTGGCATGCTTTGAGTAAGACACACGTTCGTGGGCCACAGGGGGTGGAAACTAGTACTGGATATCCTCGAGCCTACTGCTATCTATAGTAACTTAGAGCTCAAATAAACTACGTTAGTATGACATAATATCTGAAATTGCGTGGAGGGCTCCGGAAATTTCGACCACCTGGGGTTCTTTAACGTGTACCCAAATCTGAGCACATGGGCCTACAGCATTTTCGCCTCGATCGAAAATGCAGAATTAGTAATAATTGCAAATAATTAATTATTAGGGTATAATATGTGAGTCATAGTACCTTCTTCATGACATGTCAATTCTGCAATAGCTGCTTATCATGACACCTATAGTAGCTTTATTGAGGTATTGTATTCAATATATCAGATACGAACAGTGGCTGGTCAATATAATTAAGTACTGGGAAACCTGTGTTGACATTGATCTGTTTGCTTCTTGTCTCGCGTTACTCTTCATCGCGCTACAGTTTCTGATGCGAGGTCAAGTATTAACTCAACCGAACGTTATTCCTTTTGAAGTATATGGATTCGGTACCTTTGCTGCAGAACCACCGCCGGGCAACGCGTGCGCTGAAGCCTGCACGTGCTCTTCCGCGTCGGCAACCGAGGCTTTCTCTTCTGTGCACACCCTCGGCGTGCCTGCCGAGAAAGGCCCTTTTCCGGATGAAGCTCGCTATCGTTGCGGAAGCTGCGGCAACCGGCAAATCCCGCCGCGGCGCTATCGCTGGCGTGTCTCAAGGTTACCGCGAGCACCTCGAATTTCCGCGACGGGTCGACTTCTGCATGCGTGTTCGTTAGGACGAACCACTTTAACGAAGCCTGGAAAATGGGTGTAACTTCGCAACAGAGAGATAGAGAGAGAGATAAAGATGCAAGGAAAGGCAGGGAGGTTAACGAGACGCACATCCGGTTTGCTACCCTGCACTGGGGAAGGGATAGAGGGTAGAAAAGAGGTTGCAGAGAGATGAGAAGGCACACAATAACGAGTACACTCGGTGAGCACACAGAGTCTACAAGCGGTCGCTCAGGTTTGTTGACTTTAGGTAAAGTAGCAGTGCTTTAGTTGCTTTCTGCGCAACTGAGGCAGATGCCAAAGGTCCTAGTATCTTCTGCACACAAAATTCGCAACAAATTTTATTGAATCTCGGCAGCTGAATGGTGGGGCTACAGAGAGAAAAAAAAATGCTGCCGGGAGCAGTTGAGAAGTCTTACCGGAGGTTTGCCGAATCAGCATTCATAGCAAAGTTTAACCCGACTACACAGTTACGTGTCGCAGAGATTTTATAAACATTTAACGTTGATAAAAAGCAAGGAACAGGAAAGAATAGAAAAGCAGGGACGGTAACCAGTCTATAGAAGAACCCGACACTGCGGAAAGGGATGACGGTGTCCTAAGAGGCCATCATGGGTAAAGGTGACGAAAGTGGCGCTCAACTTCTTGAAGTCATCAGACTTGCAGCGGCGATTATAGACTGACAGGGTTATAATTACTCTGAGGTGTGTGACTTTGTGTGTTAGAGCTATCCTTTCTCTTTTTCTTCACTTTCAAGCGTTGATAAGAAATTGCGGAGTGTACCAAGCGAAAGAACAATCAGACAGAAAAATAGACAGCCTATAACAAACTTAAGAGAAAGATATTCCACGGAGGATATATGTCATATTTCGACGCGTAAGGTGATACCTTAAGATGCCTTCCAGCACTTTTATTGACTGACTTTATTATTGATTGAATTATTGATTGACTTTATTGAATTATTGAATATTGATTATTAATATTGGATTATTGATTGACTTTATTAATTGAGTTTATTGACCCGCAAGTTAAGTGCTGCGGAACTTTCTATTAACCGTCAAGTACCAACAGCTGCAGGAATGTGAGACTAGTACCCATGAAGGCGAGCGTGGAACACGTTTTCGGGCAGCTGGCGTCACAAGCGAGGCGTTCTGCGCGGTCGTTGGACTCGTTTCGTCTGTTCGCAGCCGATGCATTGACTCGACGCTGACGCTTGACTTCGACGTCGGCGTTGCGTACGGCGGGGTTTGGTTGCCGACGTTGCCGTTGCGTTTGGGCATGTGGTGGTGGTAGTGGTTACAATGAAGAGGAAAAAGGCACCTAATTTCTGTCTGCCTTCAGGTGACACGGCGCAGTGCCTTATAGGGGTGGGGGGAAGGAGGGATAAAAAGAATAGAAGGAAAATAGACGGAGAAGAAGCCAGCCAAGCGAGAGAAAAAAGAAGGAGATAGGAAAGTGGGGATCCGGTCGAAGCAGTTCAAGGGCGGGGTGCCACAATGCGAGAGCTGCACGGCGTCAGGAGACCGCGGAGGGCGAACCAGTCGGCGGGAGCTACGCTGAAGTCGGAGATCGCGAGGGCACAACCGTCCAGCTTGAAATCCTGCGAGCCCACGTTTCAATTGTAGCCGTTTGCCCCCGACGCTTCCGCGTGGAGCGGAGGCAGCGCTCAAGCCAACCCCTCCTCTCCTCCTCCTCGACAGCCCTCGCAAAGAAAGGGTCCTCCCACCTCCTCGCGCTCACCCGAGAGGCGGTAGAGTTGGCGCATGTGCAGTAAGGGTGGTCACGCCGCACGCGCACTAGATGGAACTACGTCATAAGCTGCTTCGCATCTAATACTTCCTTGCATACCTTAAGGTGTGTTTATAAAAAGTGGCTAACTATTAAGAGTATACTTGGTACTCTGCTATGGGAGAGCATGAAGCCGTTCTAATATTTCCTTGCATACCTTAAGGTGTGTTTATAAAAAGTAGTTAACTATTAAGAGTATACTTGGTACCCTACTATGGGAGAGCATGAAGCCGTCCCGCATACATTAAGGTATCCAGTATCCAGTCAGCCAGAACGAGACGCTTGCAGTCATTGAGTGGCGCTGACTGACACTCCCACATTTAGATGCACATATATACACCCCGTAGGTGGACAGGGTAAAGATTGGCGCTGTAGCTCATTAGGTAGAGCCTCGGACACATTCGAAGGTCGCATGTTCGGTAAAAGCCAGCAGCAAGCTTTTTCTCCGTCCTCTTTACTTTCTTCACATTTACATGATGAATACCTTAAATTACATCCCTATAACTTCCTCGGTTTTCTTGGCTGTTAGTTCTGATTAGGAAGTACCAGAACGCATTTGATCGCGTCTCGCTATCAAATGCGTTCTGGTAATCTTTAATTGTGTGATGTTTGCCCTCTTGTTTTGTACGTTTCTTCCTGTTGTCTCCGCTTTTTGGCGCTAAGATTTCGAAGTATGAATCCCAAGTTTTCACTAAAATTGTTCAATATTAAAAACGAATTACTGCTGTCATAAATAATAATGGTAATGTCGCAAGTTTTATGTCTCGATATGATTATGAGAGACGCCGTAGTATAAGGCTCCGGAAATATGGACCACTTGGGTTCCAAATTTCCAGACCTAAGCACACGGGCCTATATACCATTTCGCCCCCATCGAAATGCGACTGCCAGGGCCGGGGCCAGCGGCTTTCGGCTCACTAGCCGAACACCGTAGCTACAGTTCCACCGAGGTGGACTGCTGTCAAGGATGGAATTATCTTGTAGGTATCGATGCGCGTTAGCGAATTTGTTTTGCTGGGTGCAGTAACTGGTTCAAAGTTATGTGTGTATTTTTTCTGGTGTATTGTTCCCAGTGCTCTTGTGTTTGTGTACAAGTGGTCTACTAGATAAGAGCTGTCTTATATGCCGTCTATAAGTATGTACAGATTGCTCAGTGTTTGTATACAATTAACGCCATTTTTTCAGAATGTACTTATTGAATTTTGCCTCCAGACCCCTCCAGCCACTCTTAGACGTCCTGAAAAATATGCCGCTTATAAACGTGAATCTAAAAACTATATTGTGTATCCAAGAACTGATGCCCTTCTGCTTTCGTCTCGTATGAACGCTGGCAGTATCGAAAACAAAATAAATAAATGCGTATCAATGGGTAGCTCGTATCCACGCCCGGTGCCCTTGAGATCAGACGTTCTCCGAGAGTCGGTTTTCGGGCCATTGTTATTTTTGTTGTTTAAAATGACACCACAAACGAGACACTTCTGAAACTCAAATGGTTCGCGGGCGACTGCATCTTTTACCGGTAGATAAACATTCGTGACGACCAGAAATTGTTAGGCAGTGCCCTACACAACGTGAACATTTGGTGTGAAAAACGGCAGATGAGCATCGGTAATTAGAAAAAAGAAAAACGCGTCTCAATGACAATACTTAGAGAAAAAGGCACCACTGACTCTCCAGTATTCAATTATTATAGATACGTAGCCCTAGTTTATTTATTTACTTATTTATTTATTTATTTATACTGCAAATCCTTCAGGAGATTTAGCAGGATGAGATAGATGCAATGCGTGAACAAAAATACATAATACGATTTGTGTACAGGAAGAATGCAATGATAATAATAATGGTAATAATAATAGTATTATCAATAATAACAAACAAATAAAAGAAAACAGACACGTTCAATTTAGATAACTATTTCATGTTCAGCGACCCAGGAAAGCATTTACCATAGGTGGAAATGAAACAAAGCAACAGGCAACGGAGATGCAAATAGTAGTTATAAAAAATAGCTGATCATGTTTCAGTCATCAAGAAACTCACTTCAGGCTTCCTGTGGAATGAAGATGTCATTCTATAGAGAAGAAAGCTGTGAAAAATCTTGGATACCTTAGAACAAGGGTTGGCAACCTTTTAAGGTGTAGGGCCGAGCTTCATGAAAGAAACTTGACCGGGGGCTCCACGACCAATGGGTGAAGGAGTGAGTTGTTAGAAGGTAGGCAAAAAAAAAAAAACGGAATTTTTTTAAATAAAAAAGTTTGGAATAGAAACGGTATTCATTTTCAGCGTACACATCAGAAGGTTGAAATTTACAAACGTAAATTATTGCAAAAGTTTCATTTGAGCTCGTAAGTGCCATATACACACCTTCAGATAAGAAGTGACATTAGGAAGGTGGGGAGGGATTTGACGTCCTCCCAGGTGGCCGCGTGGGCCGCTGGTTGTCGCCACCTCTGCCATGCAACACAACAGGTAGAATTATTGCCTTATAAAACTTACATTCGTTCACTCTTCGTAATATGCAATCCGTTGTTTTGGACCTACACACTAAGAAAAATACTGATAAACTGGGAAGCTGAGAAAAAAAAAAAAAACCCGCTCGATCTGTCTTCCGTGCGTCAATCACAGCCTTGCGCATGTTAAGGCCCCGCTTCAGACAGCGAACTTGAATCCCTTACGGTTGCAACGATATCGCGGAGGATTAAAATACATGTACGGGCTCTCTCTATCTCGATAAGCTTGGCATTGAATCAAGTGCATACATTGATAAGGTGTCTCGATAGCCTTTGCGGCCCTATTATAAAAAAAAGCAACTGAAGAAGCTAGCCGGTGTCAAATCTTGCGGCCATGTCTATTCTTTTCGTCTTATGACGTTGGCATGCGTGTGTTATTTTTTTTTTTTTTTTTTGCTTTTTGTTCGGCCCAATAGTAGTAATTATTCGGCTTTAACGTCGAAAACCCATCGTTTACGATTACGAAAGACACGGTAGGCTCCGAAAATTTCGACCACCTAGGGTTTTTTAACGTGCACACAAATCTAAGTACACGTGCCTACAGCATTTTCGC